TCCCCGACGAGATTGGGCCCAGTTGGCTGTTGAGCGCGGCAGGAGGACATCTTGGAGAAAGGCGAGCCCTGGACTTGGGCCGGGGCAGCCGGCGAGGACGCGGTCGCGGCTGCGCCGCCGCCTTGAGCGCCGGCTCCGGGAGTTGCACGGGCTATCGCGACGGCGGCGGTGGCCCCTGATGGTGTCCGAGATTTCTACGCGACTCGAAAGAATATCAATGCGTTTGGTTCGGCGCCCGCGCGTCTGGCGCGCGAGCAGATGCTCTTGGCTGGCAAGGCAACGGCGGCTCGCGCCACCGAGCGCAGGGAGAGAATTCTCGCGAAGTTGGAGGCAGAGGGAGATCATCGATATCTCATGCTCAAGTCCCGGCTCGAGTCGAGGCCGAGGCGAGGAGAGCAGCCCCCGAGGGGGCAGCTCCCGCGGCAGCTCAGGCAGACCGCCCAGGAGCAGCAGGACAGGGAGGAGGAGCAGCAGCAGCACCCGCCAATGCAGCGCCGCGGCCGGATGCTCGAGCTCAGGTGCCAGCTCCGCGGTACCAGGCGTCGTTGGAGAGAGGGCCGCACGGCCCCGCTCGGGAAGTGGCACGCGCGGAGCTTCCAGCCTCGCCGGAGGGCAGGAGGAGACCGCGCGAGGAGGTCCCCGAGGATGCAGCCGCAGGTGGAGCGGCTGAGCCAGCAGCAGTAGCAGGACAGGCAGCTGGAGACGTCCATATGCCACCTGCCAGCGCAGCCGTAGCCCTGGCAGCGGCAGGAGGCGCTGAGGTGCCGATGGCCATCGACGCATCATCCATCGAGTTCGACATTCCGCTAGCTATGAAGGCGTTCGCATTCTCGAAGCTTTTCAATCCAGGTTTTTCCTCACCCAGGCTCTGCCTAGAGGGTTCTTACTCTCTTTCTTAAAGGGGCCGGGCAGTGGAAACCGCCCTGGGCGGTTCCCCCGGTATCCGCCCCGCGGTTCCCCCAGCTACGTCCCTAGCTTGGCGTTGCTTATCTCATCTTAGCATAGCCTAGTTTAACTTAGTCTAGCTTAGCCTAGCCTAGCTTAGCCTAGCTTCGCTTAGCTTAGCTTAGTTTAACATAACCTAGCTTAGCTTCGCTTAGCTTAGCGTAGCTCAGCTTAGTTTAGCCTGACGCAGCATTAGCATCGCATAGCATATCATAACATAGCATATATCTTAGCATAGCATACCATGGCGCAGCATATCATAGCGCAGCATAGCATATCATAGCATGCCACATCACATCGTAGCATAGCGCAGCATAGCAGAGCAGAGCATAGCTTTGCTTAGCTTCGCATAGCACAGCGTGGCATCGCATAGCATAGCATATCATAGCATAGCACCGCATAGGGTAGCGCATCATAGCATAGCATATCATAGCATTGCATCGCATAACACAGCGCAGCATAACATATCGTATCATAGCATAGCATAGCATATCATAGCGCAGCATATGACCTCATACCATAGCATAACATAGCGCATCATAGCATACCATAGTATCGCCTAGCATAACATAACAGAGCGTAGCGCAACATAGCATAGCATGTCATATCGCAGCATATCATAGCATATCATATCATAACATAGCGCAGCATAGCATAGCATAGCATAGCTTAGCATAACCTAGCGCAGCCTAACATACCCTAGCATAGCACAGCATAGCATAGCACGGCATAGCATAGGAGGACGGCGTTTACCGTTACTGCTAATATTGCTCTCCTCTGGGCTCCAATTCCTAGGCAGGGTCGCCCTGGGATATTTTTTACAGAATTGGCAGAAGCCTTTGGGTTGCAGCCAGGTGTTGTAGCAAACGTCACGAGCGCATATGAATTTGACAAGTGTTATGGTCTTTGAGAACCTCATTGTCAACAACTGTATATGCAGACTAGAATATCAAGACCCCTACTTCCTCCCAGCTTGTCGGATGTTTATTGACCTACTGAAGCTGAGCGAGGGCAAGTGCAATAACCCGGAGGAATGAGCTAGACAAATTGAAGACGCAGTTTCCATGCTGCACTTTTCGGTGGATGCTTGTCTAGACCAGATCCGCGGTGGCAGGTGGTTTCTTCGCGAGCACCCGTGGACGGCTGCGAGCTGGAAAGACGATTGGGTGCGCTGGCTGGCTGGATGGCCAGGCGTTTTGCTTGCGAGGTGCGATGCGTTTCAGTTCGGCATGGTCGCAGAGAGAGAGAGAGAGAGAGAGAGAGAGAGAGAGAGAGAGAGAGAGAGAGAGAGAGAGAGAGAGCAGATGGCAGCGTGGGCCCTGTTCGCAAGGCCACCTACTGGCTGACCTGCCTGCCCGAGTTTGCTCTGGCCCGCCATGATCACGTTCCGAAGCTCTCGAGGTCATCGCGTCGGAGTCTCGGGGGATCGGGCAGATTCACGCAGTCGCGGGCGCAGGTCCGGTTCCTGTAGTTGAGGAGAGGCATTTTGCAACCCGTTCCAAGATCAGATCCAGGACAGGAGGAGGGGCAGCACCGAGGTGACGCAAATAGGGGACGGCTAGATACTGAACTCACGAAACGAGCCAGAACGGGGGAGGGTGACTGGATGATCATGCAGAACGTTCTCAAGGTCGCGGAGTCGGGCACGCGCGGGCAACGAACAGGTGAGAGCCCGGTCGGAACCAGGTGGGTGGACGCCGACAATGGAGATAAACATCATCCTCGGCATCGCAGCAGAGTGGTCGCACGAGAAATAGCAGGTAGACAGAAACGATGCCCCGAGCAGCTTACAGCAGCAGAGTTTTTCAGCTGCGCACCACCTGGAGGCGCTCCGACAATTGTTGAGTTCGCGCGTGACGCAGCGTGTTTCCAAGCGTGGTTTGCTTCTCAAAACCGGTTTCTGGGTTGTCACTCGGGCGCGCCTGCGCGGTCGCGCGGAGAGGCGCAGCGTGGCGCGCGCATTATCTTTCCAGGCGGTCGCGAGGCTAAGTCGAACAAAAGCACGCGTGGCACTCGGGATGCTGGCCAACCTCATGAGAAACGGCGAGCTTTGGCAAGGGATGCCCAATCCCTCTCTTCTCGTTCGTGAGCGCGACGAGGCGAGAGGCCTCGTGCTTGGCGACGAAGTCATGGTCGCCGGCGATGATGTTTCTTTGTTTTGGCTGATGTGAATTCCAAGTTGGCTTCTGCGCGCGGCGCGAGGTATTCTGGCATCCTGGGGCCCGTGGAAAAGGGTTCGGAGGAATTGTTTTTTCCTCGGCGGAGTTATCTGATACGTTCGAGGACCTGGGGCCTGCATCGAAATCGAGAGTGATAAACGACGCGGCGGAACAATTTTGAGGGGCAACGGCTTGGACGAGGGTTCGGCCAAGGGGGTTGACGTTCTGGCTAGTAAAAAGAGCGTCGAGGAGGCCTTGAAAAGGGCCAGAGCTCCCAGTGCTGGAACTTGCAGGCGTTCGAGCCTGCCGTTCCAGCGTCATGCGAGCGGCGCACATTGCCCAGGGCCGACCTGGCATCGGAGAGGTGGTCAAGTCAGCGACCAGGAAAGTGCAGCACCCCCAATGTCACAGACATGGCGGCAGTCACGAAGCTGCGCAGGTATCTCAAGAAGTACCCGCGCCGTGTCTCCCGCTTCTTTTCCCAGGGCAGGCCTAGTGAGCCCAGTGCGTCGGTGGGCGCAGATTGGGCAGGATGTCCTATCACACGCAAGAGTACGACTGGTATGGTAGCAATGTTCGGAATGCACACGTGAAAGACGCAATCTGCTCTACAGTCGACAGTAGCACTTCGCAGCGGATACGCAGAGTACCACGGTACATCGAGAAGTGGAGCTACGGGTTGACCAAGGCCATCCTTGAGGATTTTGGTTTTTCGTTTTAAGAGCCTGTGATGAGTACGGTGAGTAATGAACTTTCAATTTCGATTGCCTCGGGCTCGTCCGCGGCTCGAGGTTTTGCACATAGCCACGGCCTCGGCAAACAGAAGCATGTAATGACTAGGTCTCTGTGGGTTTAAGAGAAAGTCTGGAATCGCCTTTACACAATAGTTCTTGTATATGCCAGAGCGAATGTTGCCGACCTCTTAACTGGGTGTGTCTCAGATGCAACAGCCTGTCGGCATTTTAAAGCCATGGGTTTCGTTGTCGGATCCGTCTGGAACCAGTTGCACAATATGATCTAGGCAATGCACATCGTGTGAGTTTGAGATTTCGCCCGCAGGTCATGCAAACATGTCTTAGGAAAGGGTGCAGATATTCGAGTCCCCTAAGGTTTGTCTGGCACGATTCTCCGATTCGTGAGTTGTGTCATGTGTTTCGCATTTTTGCTTGATGCTTCTCACGTGCACGCGTCTGTTTCCCATCCCGAATTCGTTCGTACACGTTTTGGCGTACTTTCAGGCATTGCGCTGGATAAAAAGGACCACATCTCACAGGCACATTGCATTTACATGTTTTTCTGGCCCAATTTTGGCTGGCATGTGGAGGCGCCTTGGCGTGGAGTTCAGACAACAAATATCCTTCGTTCGTTTTCGTCTCTCCTCCACCATCGGCATCCCGCCTCCTCCCCCCCGCCTCTTCGCTTGCTCCCTCCCACTTCCTGCCCAACTCCGAGCCTCCCGCCCCCTGCCCTTGCCCCGCCCTCCGTGTTCTGTGCGTTGGGCAGGCTGCGAGCGGAGTTCGTAGCGTTTCCCCGCCCTCCGTCCTCCTCCTTTCCCCCCGCCCCCCCAGGTCCTTGCCTCCCTCCTGCATTCAGCCTCCTCCTTGCGACAGGCCAGACTGGCAGGCAAACCAGTCAGCGACAGCGTTGGAAAAGGCATGTATGGAGTGGGGGGACGCTTGCGCCGAACATCTGCGCTGGGGTCGCCCGGCTCCTCGCTACGGGGGCCGCCGTCTGGGACGGCTCAGGGTGCGTCCATTCTCTCTGCTCTTCTGCAATGGCATACGAGGGGGGTGCGTCAGGCAGACGAGAGTGAGCGTCGCGAAGGACGCGCAGTTACCTCCTTTATTGCGTCCCTGTGCTTTCTCCTCACTATCCGCCTCCCGACTCCACCGGAAGGCCAGCCCAGCGATCCGCGCGCTGCAGGTGCTGGCACTGCACGGCCCTGTCGGCTCCTGGGGGCGGAGGGGGGGGAAGGGGCAGGGGAGGGGGGAGGTGAGAAAAGGGAGCGGGGGATGGGCGAGGGGAGTGGGAAGGGGGGATGGGGTGGATGGGGTGGGATGGGGAGGATGGAGAAAATGGGGTGGGATGGGTGAGGGTGGGGGAGGTAGGATGGGTTGGGAGAAGGAAGGGGTGTGCAGGAAGGGGGCACCCGAGCTGGAAACAGTCAGTCAGAAGCCTTGCACCAGACGGTGCGCTAGCAGAGATGGGAAAAATGCACTACTTGTACCAAGATCGCACGGCCGATGCCCAAGCTCGCGCTGCACCGCCCTCCGGGCGGAAGTAATCAGCAAGGCGAGCGGCGGAGCCGGCCACACGCAGACAATTGTTCATCACCATGTTGCCCCAATTCTGTCGGGGCCGGCCTCTCTTCCGAGGTCCTGATGGCGATCGTATGTCAATGCTGTCAGGTTCAAACACAGACATGCGCACCGGGTCTGTGCTGGGGCGTCTCGCAAGCTTGCCCATGAAGAGCATTTGATGTTTACAGATTTGCTCGCTCAAAGGCCGCTGCTCCGCTATGCTCAAAACAGTGTTATTCGAAATTATACTGTAATATGAATGTGGCACGCGGAAAATCCTCCTTAGACACTGGGCTTGAAATCCGTCAATTCTCCGGCGTTCGGCCTGATTCAAGCATACAGTAAACAGATACTATGTTAATTGAGCAACTACGCATGCGTTAAACAACCTCATGCAAGGCAATTCGTATCCATCCATGTCTTATCTGCCTGGTTTGGCAGCCATGGAATCGGAGGTAAATTGGCATCGGGTTTGTTGTAACATTCGCTGAGGCCTTTGGTCTCAACGCCCGCTTAGCGAGCCGCTTGTACGGCAGATTGTACTAAGCAATCGGTATGACGATATTTGATTGCAGCGGGCTACCTTGATCCTTTCGTGCACGCAATGGCACAGTTGAGTCATCAGAGGGTGAAGGTGGTTTCATGTGTGCGTTGGTACTCAGCAGCGCTCAGCAGCCTTGACAGCAGCCTTGATTCAATCACTGTGCAGCCAGGGCTCATGGAAGGCAAGAGTGCAGTTGGACATGCTTCACGAACTTTACGAGGGTGGGACAACTGATTACTCTCGCTTCGCGGGGGGCATGTCTGGAGTCGTTCCGTGTTCCGTCCGCTTTTGCTGCAGCTCCTCTTCCTTGCCCTCCTCATCTCTCATTCCCTCTCCCTTCTTCCTCTATCTCTTCCTTTTTACCCTCCTCCTTTCTTCCTCCTCTTCCTTCTCCGCGTCCGTCTTCTCCTCATCCTCTCTACAATCTTCTCCCTGCACTGATTTGGCCGTCTTGGATCTGTCGTGGGTCCCTCTTGGGTTGCTTTGGGACCTTGAGTCCTTCAGGCGCACTCTTGCGGCCCTCCTGCGGCCCTCGCGCTACGTTGTCTCTCCCGCGCAGGCTCATACCAGATGGCTGTTTATTTTCTCAATTGGACGCGCCTGTGTGTCATGTGCTTGTGATGTGCGAGAAATTGAAGAAAGGTCCGGGCCGCGCGCACACGTTAAAGCAGTGTGCTTATAACGTCATGTGTAACGAAGCGTGCAATCATACGTAACACATAGAGTGAGTGAGCTATGCCACCAGACCAGCGACGACGGGCGGCGACGAGGGGGCGACGGGGCGGGGACGGCGAGCACGGAGCCGCCAGACCGCCAGCCAGACCCAGTTCTTCAGAAGGGAAGTAAGAACCCCTGAGTGCAAGTACCGATTTGGGAAATTGTGAAGACACATGCGATCAGGTGTGAAACATAAGTGAACTATGGCATAAGAAGTGTCGATTCCAACGTACTTCTCGATTTGGGACTGCGCCGAGCAGCGCGCATAGCTTTCTTGCATATGTTGTCTCGCTTACTTTGTCTGGGATGGGCTCTGTGCAGAGACGGCGCCACGGCCAGGCCAGGGCAGGATCAGGACTGAGCAGAGCGCGGGCCGTGGGGTTGCGGCCGGGGTTTGGAGAGATCGTGGCATCGAAGGCGTGGGCCCATGACCATTATCGTTTGACCGACCCCCATTGCCAGTCCCATCCAGACCCCCACCATCTCCCCCCCCTGGTTGGGGATATAACCCCTGAAACCCGAAGGAAACGACCTGTATCCCCATCTAGGTGGTTAAAACGGCCAGTGGGGCCCAGGCCACGCCCATGGGGATGGGGGATCGGTCGAAAGATGCTCACATGGTAAATTTTTCATCCGGGGTCATTTTTTGACGGCCCCGGGGCCCCACGAGGCCCCCCAGAGGCCGAAAAAGTTTGAAAAACTTCCCGCGCCGAAAACTACGAAAGCAGCAGAACACGGTCGAAATTTGCGACATTTGCAGGTCGTTGCCTCAGAGGCGCGGACCCGTATTTATTTTTGCAAGGGCGTCCTCGAGGGCGCGAAGTTATCTGCGTTTCGCGGTTCGGCTCCGACTCCTCCTCGTCCTCTTCTTCTCCCCTGGGAGGCGTGGCGAGAGCGCGAAGTTATTCGCACTTCACGCTTCGCGCAGCGCGAAGCGCGAAGTTGGGAGCCCTTGTAGTTCCTTCTGCACGATGGATCGGCCCTCGGGAGCGCCGATCCACTGCTCTCGGCCCTGCGGCCGCTGGGCCCGGCACGACTTCTCCCCAGGCTGGAAGCCACGGCCCCGATCCCAACGTCGGGGGTGGCCAAGGGGGGGCGAGGTGTCGTGGCCATGGCCATGATGCTTCCCCCCAGGCTTCGTGGCGCCTCGTCTCATGTCAGTGCGACCCCTTGCGCCCCCTGGGCCGCAGACGTGCCTCGGGCCATGATTTGCGAACCCCCCTCTTGGACGCCCCCCTCTTCGACGCACCCGACAGGCCCGCGGCGAGAGGGTGCGACGGCCACCGCGCTTCGCACCAGGGATCGTGGCCTCGGGAGCGTTGATCCAGTGTGTTTTGGAGCGCCTCAGGGCACCCAGTAGCTGGGAGAGTCTGGCTCGATCGTGCAAGCATCTCGCTTGCAGCTCTGTACTCTGAGAGCTGGTGACCAAAGCATCTTGCTTGCTAAGCTGCTGAACTCCTCAGAAATACTGCAGCGCTGCGAATTGCCTCGTTGCGCTGATGAAGACAAAGCTGCTCAGTTGCTGCAGCCAAGTGTTCGCTGCCTGATGGCCCCCGCAAGGGGGGGCCGGCGGACCAAGCGCCGTCACCCTCCTGCTCCAGTTGCTGTTGCTGCTCTCGCTCTTGGTTGTTATCTTTGACCTTCCGCCCCCCGAGGAGGAGGAGGAGGAGGAGGAGGAGGAGGACCAGTGTAAACCCAAGAGTCATCAAGGATGTTGGAATTAACCCTCCCTCCAAGCTCCCTCTTCACTGGCCCCTACAACGGTTCATTTCCATTGGGGGAACTGCCTCGTCGGAAGACAACCGTTTGACGATCCTGAAGCGTGCCAAAACATAGTTCTCTGGATTTCAACGCCTCGTATCAACCTGACTGCTGCGTCTTGACGATCCAGAATCGTGCCAGAACACTTTTTTGGGGATTTCAACACCGCGAATCAACATAATTGTTGCACCCGCATAGTCCTGAATCCTTCCAAAACACCATTTCTGGTACGTTGATCATGGGAATCCGCTAAACTCTTGCAAATTTTGAAAACGAATGTGCGCGGCGCTAAGGCGAGAGCCACATTTTGAAAACCACCCGCCCTCAATCCGTGAAGCTCTTGCAAATTTGAAAATGAGTGCGTGCGGCGCTTAGGCGAGAGCCACAGTTTGAAAATCACCTTCCTTCAATTCGTGAAACTCTTGCAAATTTTGAAAACCAGTGTGCGCGGCGCTTAAGCGAGAGCCACATTTCGAAAACCACCCTCCCTCGATTTGTGTAATTGCTGTCACTTCTGAAGCTTCGGAGTCATAAGTGGTGAGGAAGTCTCAGGCGAAATGCCCGGCCCGCCCTAAAAATTGGCCTCGGGGTGCGACAGGGAGAAGTTATCTATAAGGAGAAGGAATGGAGGAGGGGGAGGGGGCAGGAGGAGGAGGAGGACGACGACACAGAGGAGGACGAAGAGGAGGACGAAGAGGAGGAGTTGGAGGGGGCAAGAGAAGCAAAACCACCGATGAGGCTTCGCCACGCTGCTGGTCGCAGTCCTGGAGGACCTGGGCGCACGTGCCGAGGCCGGCCTCGAGCTGAACGTTGCGCCGTGCGCCGGCCTGCGCGAGCTGGTCGAAGCTGGGCGCGCCTGCGCCGCTGCGGGCGCCGAGGAGCAGCACCGATGAGACCTCTGGGGGGAATGGAGTTGCCATGGCCGTGTGGCCACCCCAAAGGCCAGCGGCGGGCAGCAGGGCCGCCATCTCTGTCTCTACCTCTGTTTTGCTTTATTGCTGTTCCCCTGTTCATTTTTCTGTCTCTCTCGCGCTCTCTCTCTCTCTCTCTCTCCCTCTCTCTCTGGAGAGGGAGGGGGATATAGATGGAGGAGTGGAATAAAATTGGAGTAATTGATTCAGCTGACGCGTGTGGGATTTCTGAGAAGGCGCCCCCTGCTCTATTTTCGCCCCTCCTTACTTCTATTTCTACTTCTACTACGACCTTCTCCTCCTCGAAGAGAGACAGAGACAGTCACCCCAACCCGAGTGCTGGTCCTCATCTCCCTCCTCCTGTTGCCCCCCCCTTCCAGGAGCCAGGCCTTGCGGGCGCGGGGACGGCCTGGCTGTTCCGCCTCTCGGAGCGTTTTGGGGACGCCGCGGGCGACGAGCGGAGCCCATCTTCAAGGGGGAGGTAAAGCCGCGGTGCCCAGGCAAGCCTACGCATCGGGGAATAACAACGACATAAACATTAGCCTCGATCATCGATCGTCTTCGTCTTCGTCCACGTCCGCTTTCTCGTCGTTGTCCTCCTCCTCCTCCTCCTCCTCCTCCTCCTCCTCCTCCTCGTCATCATCATCATCGTCATCATCAAGGTCGCCACGGTTCAGGCCCTCAAAGGAGCAGCGACCTCTCCACAGCGCCCTCCCCGCCAAGCCCCAGAGGCGGAGGGCCCGAAGACACCCCGCACCCCGCCATGTCGCCGTGGCTGTGCGCCAGCGCGCGGGCGCCGCGAACCGGCCGCGCACTCGAGGAGACGCGGACACTTACGGCAACGGAGACGATGACGCACAATCGTGCCAGCGGCGCCCCGCGTGTGCGGCGTTCTCGCGCTCAACAACATCGTCGCCGTCGAGCACTGCGACTTCTGCGCTGGGGCGCCGCCCTGGGCCAGCCGCCAGGATTTGACCTCGCGGGCCCGCCACGTGCTGGCCCTGCTGGCGCGCCCGCCGACATCAGCATCCCGCCCATGCAGCTGCAGTATACCCGAAAGATGGGCAGCCACGCCACCGCGGAGTCCTAGGTGACGAAGCACCAGGCTGCGGACGTCGAGGACAGCTTCTCGCGCACCGCAGCGCTCGAGGCATCGCGGCTGCGGCCCTATTCCGAGGCCTTGAGGCACGTCCGTGTCAAAAACAAGCGCTACACGGAACCTGACAAGCTCTTCATGCCGTACGCGTCATGCGCGGAGCTCTGCAGAACGGTTTCCGAGGCGTTCCACACCGCTTCCCGCGAGACCGAGCGTTCTTTGTCCGACGCGGTGATGCGAAGCGCTGTCCCAATCAGCATCGCGCGTAGCCTCTGGGCTGGCGTCCGCGACCACGAGCAATTTCGTCCAGACCATTACGCTTGCGGACAGCGTGGCGCACGTCATCGAACACGCCTGGACCGCCACAGCAAATCATCCGTACTGGAGCGCCTTGGACAACACGCTTGCCATCCAGCGGACGACACTGACTTTCATCGAGCTGCGGCGCCCAGGCCACTGCGAAGAATTCATGGTTTGAGCTGAGCTGAGGCGCCTCTTCAGACTATGCTTCAGAATGCACGTGCGAGTTTCTTTCAATCTTCGCAAGGATCACGCTGCTGCTACTCGGTTGTCCCTCAGAGTACGTTTCTGTTTGTGCTTCAGTATATTGTTTCAGCGTATCTTCCCCAGCCTGTGCATTCCGAGGAGGTTGTGCAGTTACTGACACCTTTTTCAGGGCCGCTCCGTGTGTGTGTGTGTGTGTGTGCTCAGTTGATCCGAGTCCTCTTTGTCGCCTGGTTAGCGCTGCGCAGGATGTCTCCCTCAGCAGCACCCGCGGCAGACTTGGCCTTGCGGGCCAGTACGAAAGCATTGTGCTCTCTGCGACGGATCTCATTATTTGTTCGTTATTTCGAATATTCGAAGCAGCTTGATCCTAAAGTCGAGGAACATCGTCATCATCTTCACCATCGTCCTCCTTCACTCTCCCTCTCTTTCTCTCCCTCTCATCTCCCTCGGTTGATTTACCAGGGTGAAGATGAGATGAGGGATCGGGAACCAAAGTGCTCATGGACATGCCGGCTCCCGCGGAAAGGTGCGGGAACCGACATGCTCACGAGCATGTCGGAACATGGATCGTGACAGATCTATCTTGGGACAGTTGGTTCGACATCTATCGTAACATAAACATCGATCGTCCAGCGGGGCCATCGGGACCATCGGGACCATCGGGCTTCGGCAACCGGGGCACAAAGAATTGCATGAACATAAACCAATGCATCGGGGTCATCCTCAACTTTCGATCGTCGATGCCATGGAGAGCCCGACACGCGCTTCGTAGACTCGTGCCTTTCGAGTTTGCTTCGGGGAACAAAATGTCATAAACATTAATTTTCAGAGGACCGCGCGGATTTCTCGGATGCGCGCCGGAACCTCTGGCGGCGCCTTCTGCGCCGCCCGTGGCGCGCTCAGCACGTCAGAAAAGGGTGTCCAGCACCGATCCGAGAAATCATCGCGGACCTCCAGAAGTTGATGTTTTGTCATTTGTTGTTCCCTTCATGCAACAGGGGTTGCGCGGCCTCGGAGCTGCAGAGCGTGGCCATGAGCACCTGGGTATTTTCAGGACCGCCATCCCTTGCAGTCGAGGCTGATGAGTAGGTCGACCCTGCCAAGTCAAGGGTGCCCTTGTGCCCGTAAGGGCTTCGCCCCCTGCCGCCGGCCCCCTCTCTCGGAGAATGGGCCATGGAAAAGCGAGGTCATGAGACTTTGGCTTCGCCGTGAAGCAGTGTCGGGACCTGTTTGTTTTTGGACCCTGACCTTACGGATCTGCGTGAGGGGTGCCGCTGATTTCAGAAATGTGGCAAATCCTATGTGTTTTTGGACCCTGACCCTACGGATCTGCGTGAGGGGTGCCGCCGAATTCTAGAACTGTCGCAAATCCCTTGTGTTTTTGGACCTTGACCCCGCCGATCTGCGATCTGCGTGAGGGGTGCCACCGAATGTCAGAAATGTTGCAAATCCTTTGTGTTTGTGGACATTGACCCCGCTGATCTGCGTGAGGGGTGCCACCGAATTTCAGAAATGTAGCAAATCCCTTGTGTTTTTGGACCCTAATCCCGCCGATCTGCGTGAGGGGTGCAACTACTTTGTGTTTTTGGACCCTGACCCTACGGATCTGCGTGAGGGGTGTTAGGAAATTTTAGGAATCTCGCAAATCCTTTATGTTTTTGGACCTTGACCCTGCCGATTTGCATCAGGGGCGCCACCGAATTTTAGAAATGTGGCAATCCCTTGTGTTTTTGGACCCTGACCCTGCCGATCTGCGTGAGGGGTGCCACCGAATTTCCAGAAATGTTGCAAATCCTATATGTTTTTGGACCCTGACCCCGCCGATCTGCGTGAGGGGCGCCACCGAATTTCAGAAATGTAGCAAATCCCCTGAGTTGTTGGACCCTGACCCCGCCGATCTGCGTGAGGGGTGTCAATGTTTATAATTTTTTACCCACCCCAGCAATTTAGAGCATACGATTTGGGCGTGATGAAACTGCCTGTTTGGGCCTCCCCCCCTCGCGCGGTCCATCAACAAGGAACAGTAAGCAGCAAGAAGTCAACAAGGAACAGTAAGCAGCAAGAAGCAGAACTGTAACAGTGGAAACTGGAAGCTGCAACTGGTACAGGAAACTGCGAACCTTAGCCCTACAGCCTGGTGGCCCCACAAGGGGGCCGGCGGATTCTGTTTTTCACGGCCCATGCTATGTGGCCCTAGGGTCTTGTGTCCTCCCGCGCATTCTGTCCAATCAACCTCGACTGGCCCAGGGCCAGGAAGAAGCGAGTTCGTGCCGCAAAGTGCCTGCCGATTCTTATCGAAGGAGGCCGACGCCTCCGAGGGCCACGTGACATGACGCTCACCGCCGTGGGCCCGCCCATGAACCGTCGGGGACCAGCCCTGGCAGACTGAACCCCTAGGGGCTACCTCAGGGGCCCAGGACTGTGTGGGTGGTTACTTCCGCGGAGGAGGGTGATGATGATGATGATGATGATGATGATGATGGTGGTGATGGTGGTGGTGGCGGTGGTGGTGGTAATGGTGATGGTGATGATCGTGGTGGTGACGATGATGATGGTGGTGATGGTGATGGTGAGTATGATAATGATGGTGATGATGATGGTGGTGATGGTGATGGTCATGGTCATGATGGTGCTGATGATGGTGATGATGGTGATGGTCATGTTTATGATGATGCTAATGATGATGCTGATGGTGGTGGTGTTGATGGTCATGGTCATGGTGATGGTGATGATGATGGTGATGATGATGATCATGATGATGGTGGTAGTGTTGATGGTTACGATGATGATGATGATGATGATGATGATGATGATGATGGTGATGATGATGATGACGCTGATGATGCTGATCATGATCACGATCATGATCATGCTCATGATCATGATGATGATGATGGTGATGCTGATGATGATGATACTGGTTACGATGATGTTGCTGATAATTATTGCAATGATGCTCGTGATGATGATGATGAGGCTGGTGATGATGATGATGGCGATGGTGACGGTGATGATGCTGATGATGATGCTGATGATGATGACGGTGATGATGACGGTGATGATGATGATAATGATGATGATGACGATGATAACGCTGATGATGATGATGATGATGAGGAGGAGGAGGAGGAGGAGGATCAGGATGAGGATGGTGATGATGCTGCTGATGATTATAATGAGGATTGTGATGCTGCTGATGATGCTAATGATGATGCTGTTGTTGATGATGATTATGAATAGGATTATGATGATGATGATGATGATGATGATGATGATGATGATGATGATGATGGTGATGGTGATTGTGATGGTGATGATGATGGTGATGGTGATTGTGATCGTGATGGTGATGGTGGTGGTGCTGCTGATGATGATGCTGATGATGATGATGGTGATGATGATGATGACGATCCTGATGATGATGACGCTGATGATGTTGATGATGATGATGATGATGATGATGATGATGAGGATGAGGATGAGGATGAGGATGAGGATGAGGATGATGATGATGATGATAGGATGATGGCGATGGTGATATTCAAAGTTTGTAAGGAAGGGGGAGGAGCGATTCTCATTCCCGTTCCTTCTTCTGATCCTACATCCCCACACAGGCCTTTCAACACAGGGGGACGGACACGAGGCCAACGCGGGCCCCCAAGCGAAGCACGGCGAACTGTGCACCCGCGCCAGAATTGGGGTCTATGACTCCAGTATCGAGCCAGTGAGAAGGAGGAGGAGGAGGAGGAGGAGGAGGAGGAGGAGGAGGGAGGAAGAAGAGGAGGAGGGGGAGGAGGAGGCAGGAAATGGCAGTAGGAGACAGGAGGAGGAAGAGGCAGGAGGAGGAGGGGGCAGGAGGTAGGAGGAGGGGGAGGAGGCAGGAGCAGGAGCTGGAGGAGGAGGAGGAGGTGGGCCAGGAGGAGGGAGAGGAGCAGGCAGGAGCAGGAGCGGAAAGAGGATGCGGTGCAGCTCTTCGCCTCTCTGCCAGTAATCCCGAGGCCAGGCCCCGGCGTTCCTCCCCCGCTCGGCGGCTACAAAGGATGTGGTCACGCCGGGGTGTGGTCGGGCGGGGCCAGGACGGGGATAAATCCGCTCCAGAGCGGTCAGGAACGCTCCGAGGAGGCCGCGGCGCCTGAGACATCCGCCAGAGTCGCCGGATTTCCGAGATTCTAGATTTATCGTCACCCGAATGTATCGTCGTCTTGGCTTCGTCTTGTGTGATTTGCGCTCTGGGTCTTTGGGGCTTGGGGGGCGCACTGCGTTGCCCTCGTCGAGCCGCCTCCGGACGCAGCGGAGGACTCCGTCGAGGTCCTCGCCTGCCCCCCAAGGTGCGGGCTGCAAACCACACCCTTTGCAAACCACACCCTTCGTAGTCGCCGACCCGTGCTCAGCTTCACACCCAGCTTCTTTCCCACCCTGGGCTTTGGACGAGGCCGCTCTCCAGGACGCTCTGGTCCAGTGGCGGCGGGTGTGCGCGTGGTGCGATGCTTCGGGCTGCGACGCCAAAAGAACATCGCCCTCGCCCCCCTCGCCTTCCTTCCCTCGCCCTTCCTCCCCCGTGTGTCCCCCCTTCTCACCTCTTACTTGTTTCTTCATTACCCTCCTCCTCCTCTTCCTTCTCCTCGTGCTCCTCCTGCTTGATGTGTTCGTCGTCGGGTTTGTCGCCTTCCTCCTCCTGCTGTTCCGCGGGCCCCTTCGTCCACCACAAAGGGGCCAATAAACTCCAGCCAGGCCTCCAAGCAAAAGCATTGGAGACCGACATATTTGCTAGCGGTTCAGTAGATGTTTGGCTCCGCCAGGGGTCTTCATCAATGATCCAGAGGCAGGGGTGGCCTAGGATGTAACGAGGTTCAATTCTGTATTGGCGCTGGTATTTTTGCGGATGGTAACTGGGGCTAATCCGGTTTAATTCAGCTTAATCCCAGGCTTATTTTGGCCTTAATCCAGCGTGGTGCTTTAATCGGGCTTAATCGCCCGTAATCGTTCCAACGTAGAATTTCTAGGAGTTGTCTCCTAAGGAGGGGAGGAGTCGCTCCCCCTTCTGAGGTCTCGTCTGAAGTCCAGCCAGGCTTCTCCTTGCCTCGGGCCCGGGATGGCGGGGAGGGCCAGGGGGAGGGAGGCCAGGCCGCCACCACCACCGCCCTGGCGCAGGGAAGGGGGAGGGCCGCTGGAGGGCGTCGGAGCTTTGCCCTACGCCGTCCTCATCTTGAGGGCTTGGACGGGGAGGAATAGCCTTACCGCCGTTTGTCGGCGGCGAGCGAGGGGGAGAAGTGATAAGAAGGCCTTCTCAGAAGGCGGCGGGGCTTCTCAGAAGCCCTCTGGTCTTCTGAGAAGATGTCTGTGTCTTCGGGGAAGGCTTAGAAAACTCATCAGAAGGCCCGTCCCCCTCGTCACTTCTCTCCCGGGCTGGCCGTCGAGTCTGGGGGTCCAAGGTGGCCCAGCACTGGTTCCGGCCAGCAGGAGGGCGGGCAGGTTCTGGGTTCCAGAAAGTTGCTAGGTCTTTTTAGCCTCGGGGGGCCGTTCCCTGGCCGCGGGACCGTGAACAACGGATGTGATATGAAAACTGCACCAGGCGGACCCAGGGAGGGGTCCAGGGACCGATTTTGCGCGGCTTTGGCCTCATCCCCCCTCCTGACCGTCCCAACCAGTTCGGGCCCCCCCCGCCTCCAAGAGGAGCCGCTCCCCCCTCTGACGTCCAGCGAGGGTTTTGCTCACCTCGGGGTTTGCCCGGTTGCAAGGGCCGCGTCCGGTGGAGACACGAGGCGCCCGCAGAGTTGAGCGTCCATCATGAGGAGGAGGAGGAGGAGGAGGAGGAGGAGGAGAGGAGAGGAGAGGAGAGGAGAGGAGAGGAGAGAGGAGGAGGAGAGAGAGGAGAGAGGAGAGGAGAGGAGGAGAGGAGAGAGAGAGAGAGAGGAGAGAGAGGGAGGAGGAGGAGAGGAGAGAGGAGAGGAGAGGAGAGGAGAGAGAGAGAGAGAGAGGAGAGAGAGGAGGAGAGAGGAGAGGAGAGGAGAGGAGAGGAGAAGACCGTCTCCCCAAGATGGCCTTCCGTGCTCCCCCATGGGCCTTCGGCGAAGGGGCTCATGTTCTTGGCCCCCGTCTTTTTGCTGGCCATGGTTCAACTGTGCTCCTCCAGTTGCGCCGGTCCGCCGCCGCGCTCGCGCGGGAGGCCGCCGGACCAGGGGCACGCTGAAGGATCCACGGGCGTGTTCGCCTCCCGTGGTGTATCGGGGGCGCAGAGGGGGGCGAACAGCCCCGGGAGCGGTGCATGTATCCAGGGGCGCCGATGGCCCATGCCTTCGGCGAGGCTCCCCGGCGAGTGCGCGTGAAGCCCGCCCCTGGGCCAGGGCTTGTTCGCCTCCTGGCCGATCTCCTGTTGAGATTGCACTGGTGGTTGTCGGCCCATCCCGCAACCGTGCCTGGATCGTGGAGAAGGGGTCGCTCAGATCTCGGAGGCCTTGGTCTCTCAGCAGGCCTCTTGAAGGCATGTCGGGGGCATCCAGGGGCCGTCATTCAGGCATATGGGTGCCTTCTGGGGGCCTGCTACTTTGGGTTGGAGGGCTCCAAGTGCCAGGCTGAGTTGCCCATCTTGGGCCTCTTTCTGGCCGTCTTAGATATCTGCTGGGACCTCCTTGAGGCTTGAGGGCCGTCTTGCAGTGATCTTGGAAGCCTCCTGTGCCATCATGGACGCCCTTTAAGAGCGTCCAAGATGGGTTTAGCACTTTCGGAATTTCGGTCGTAACGCTTACAACCGAAAAGCCGAGAATGCTAAACTCATACTAGGACTGAAGGGCCTCCGGGACGGCCCAAGGGGGCCCAAGGAGAGCCCCAGTAAGGTCTTTCGGGGTCATTTTGAAGTGTGGACTACCAGCCACGCTCCCGAGGCCTCTGGAAAAGTCATGTGAGAAGTCTCGGTAGTGTTCAGAAATCCGGTACTGTCGGCATTCAACAGCGCAGACTCCAAGGGGGCTGGGGGCATTCCACTTCGTGTCTACGGCATGGGGGTTGGTAGAAACTTGAAGGGAGATGAACAGGCGCGCGAACGAAGTTCAACTGACGCCACGGCCACGCCTTTTGCTGCATCTGCGGCGGCGTGTACGTTGTGACACGTCCCTCCCCTTAGGGTCCCAACTTCTGCGACGTATCAGCGCGCGGACCTGTGCTCCCCCCAGCGCCGCGGAGTATCGCCCAGAGTCGGGGCTCAAGGGACAGGGGTCAATGCAAATGGGGGCCAGCCAGGACGCCGGATCTTGCAGGATCCTGCAGAGCCAGGGCTGCACGGACCCAGTTTAGCGTGCAGGATCTTCCAGGATCTTGCAAGGCCTGATTGATCCGGATTTTCGTTGACCCGGGTCAGTGCGTCCGCGGCCAGAGCGCGAGGGTGGTAAGGTGCCCTTGGCGTACTTCGCCAGCCGGCCCACGATCCTGCTCCTCGGCGCGTACTCCACGGGGAGGGGCGGTGGAGGGCAGCAGGATGAGGAGGCGGTGGAGTAGTACGAGGAGGAGTCGGAAAGGAGAACGAGGAGGATGCACAAATCAAGCACCCTCCTGTGCAAGAGTGAAGGTGAAGTGGGAGGACGAGATGAGGGGACAGTTGATGGAGATATTCGATGCTGTTGTGCGACAGAGCGTATCACCCCATATTTCGCCTTCTCTCCTTAGTAGTATTGCTATTTCGGTTCCGATCATCATTACTACTACATCGGCGCTACGAAGTTTTGACCCGTTTCGTGCTTCCGCGAAGACAAGTCTTCGGCGGGAGCGCCATTGCCATTGCGAAGTCGAGCTGGAGAAGTGCCGACTTCTATGTTCGATGAAGTCCTGGGCGTGAGCGCCATTTCGAAATCGAACCAGGCTGGTGTCGACTTCTAGTTTGGAGGAAGTCTTTGGCGGGAGCGTCATTTCGAAATCGAACCTGACAGGTTCCGCATCTTGGTTTGAAGGAAGTTCTGGACGGGAGCGCCATTTCGAAGTCGAAGCAGAAAGGTTTCGTGTTCTAGTTTGGAGGACGTCTTGGGCGGGAGCGCCATTTTGAAATCGAACCTGAAAATTGGAACTCGTTCGTAATTGTTTTCCGGAGGAAGTCTCAAGCGAAACCGTCGTTTCGAAATGGCCACGCCGTGTGACAATGAAAATTGTACATTTCGGACCAGAGATTTCGAAACTGTGGTTTTCGCTGGAGACTTCCTCCAAAAAACGACTTCGACGGGATTTCGAAACCATCGGGTTCGAATTCGAAAAAGCTGTTCCGCCCGAGACTTGAAGCAAAACAACGCTTGAACAGACCATTGTACTGGGGCCCCGCGGCCGAACAAGCCCTTGTAACGTCTCCTCATCTTGTCGCGGACGCAACGCCACTGACAATATAGGGCCATTTCGCCGAACGGCAGGCGCTGCATTTTGGCCTAACTTTCGTAGCGTTGCCCTGCACATCGCGCTGCGCACATATCATTCGGAAGTGATTTGCTCGCCTCTCACTCCTCGGGCACTGCGAATCGATCTGTGTGAACGATGCGACGACGCCGACGCGCCTCAAAGAGCGCGACGACGACGGCGAGACATCGGTCGGCGAGCGAATGTGCCACTTTCCGGACCTACCAGATGCACGGCAGTCATAAGCGGATTGATATTCCAAAGTGGAATTTCAAGCCGCTTGTGGTTGCCCCGCACATAGTGCTGCGCGCGTGTCACTGGGAAGTGATTCGCCCGCCTTTCGCTCTCTGGGCACTGCGAAGTGATCTGTGTGAAAGATGCAACGACGCCGACGCGCATCAAAGTGCACGACGACGACGGCGATTTGAAACCGCTTATGAATTGCCCTGCGCATTGCGCTGCGCACCTGTCACTCGGAAGTGACTCGCCCGCCTCTCATTTCTCGGGATCTGCGAATCGATTTGCAGGAACGATGCGACGACGCCTAGGCGCTTCAAAGTGCGCGACGACGACCGCGAGACATTGGTCGGCGAGCGAGTGCGCCATTTTCCAGACCGACCAGATACAGGGCAACCTTGGGCGGCTCGAGCTTCCACAGTGGAGCGCCAGACCGCTTATGGTTGCCTTGCACATTGCGCTGTGCATATGTCACTCGGAATCCGCCTGTGACCCTTCGGGCGCGACGAATCGATCTGCGCGAGAGGTGCGGCGACGCCGACGCGCTTCGCAGTGCGCGACGACGACGGCGAGACATCGGTCAGCGAGCGAGTGCGCCCCATTTTCCAGACCGACCAGAGGCAGGGCAACCATAAGCGGTTTGGAATTCCGCAGTGGGATTTCACACCGCTAATGGTTGCCCTGCACCATGCGCTGCGCACATGTCACTCGGAATTTATTCGTCCGCCTCTCACTCTTCAGGCACTGCGAATCGATCTGTATAAACGATGCGACGACGCCGACGCGCGTCAAAGTGCGCGACGACGACGGCGACACATCGGTCGGCGATCGAGTGCGCTCTATTTTCCAGACCGGCCATATGCAGGGTATCCATGAGCGGTTTGAGATTCCACAATGGAATTCCAAACTGCTTATGGTTGCCCTGCACGCTGCGCTGCGCTCATGTCTCTTGGGATTGATTCGTCCACTTCTCGCCCCTCGGGTGCTGCTACTCGATCTGCATGAACGAGATACAACTACGCCGAAGCGCTTCAAAGTGCTCGACGATGACGGCGAGTCATCGGTCGGCGAGCGAGCGCGCTACTTCGCAGACCGACCAGACGCGGGGCAACCATGAGCGGTTTGATATTCCGCAGTGGAATTTCAAGCCGTTTATGGTTGCCCTGCAGCGTGCGCCGCGCACAGGTTCCGTTTTCCAGTTCGACCGGATGCAGGGCATTTTTGAGCGGCTCGAGATTCCACAGTGGAGCGCCAGACCGCTTACGGTTGCTTTGCGCATTGCGCTGCACACATGTCGCTCGGAATTCATTCGCTCGCCCGTGACCCTTCGGGCGCGACGAATCGATCTGCGCGAGAGGTGCGACGACGCCGACGCGCTTCGCAGTGCGCGACGACGACGGCGAGACATCGGTCAGCGAGCGAGTGCGCCCTATTTTCCAGACCGACCAGAGGCAGGGCAACCATAAGCGGTTTGGAATTCCGCAGTGGGATTTCACACCGCTAATGGTTGCCCTGCACCATGCGCTGCGCATATTTTTCTCGGAAGTGATTCGCCCGCCTCTTTACTTCTCGGGCAGTGCGAACCGATTTGTGCGAACGATGCGACGACGCCGACGCGCCTCAAAGAGCGCGACGACCACGGCGAGACATCGGTCGGCGAGCGAGCGCGCCGCTTTCCACTTCGATCAGATGCAGGGCAACTTTGAGCGGCCCGAGATTCCACAGTGGAGCGCCCGGCCCGTTATGGTTGCCTTGCACAATGCGCTGCGCACGTGTCACTCGGAATTGATTCGCCCGCCCGTGACCCTTCGGGCATTGCGAATCGGTCTGCGCGGGGGGTTGCGACGACGCCGACGCGCTTCACAGTGCGCGACGACGACGGCGAGACATTGGTCGGCGAGCGAGTGCGTCACTTCCGAGAGTGGCCAAACGTAGGGCAAGCATAGGCGCTCGAAGCTTCACGGTGGATTTTCAAACCGCTGATGGTTGCCTTGCACATTGCGCTGTGCACGTGTCAGTCGGAAGTGATTCGCCCGCCTCCCATTCCTCGGGCGGTGCTAATCGATCTGCATGAGCGATGCGACGGCGCCGACGCGCTTCTACGTGCGCGACGACGATGGCGAGACATCGGTCGGCCAGCGAGTGCGAAATGTTCCAGACCGACAAGATTCAGGGCGACATTATGTTTTTTTAAACCCACAATGGAATGTCGATTCGCTTATGGTTGTCCTGCACATTGCGCTGCGCACATGTCACTCGGGATTGGCTCGTCCGCCTCTCACTCTTCGGGCGCTGCGAATCGATCTGTGTCAGAGATGCGACGGCGCGCGTCAAAGTGCGCGACGACGACGGCAAGACATCGGTCGGCGAACGGGTGCGCCACCTTTCCATTCCGGGTCAACCATCAGCGGGTCGAAACTCCTTGATTGGATTTCGAACCGTTTGTGTCTGCCTTGCACAGCCGCTGTGCACATGCCATTCGGCATGTATTCGACCGCTTCTCGCTTATCGGACACTGCGAATGGATCTGCGTGAACGATGCGACGACGCCGACGCGCCGCAAAGTACGCGACCGCGACGGCGAGGCATCGGTCGGCGAGCGGGTGCGCCATTTTCCAGAGTGACCACATGCAGGGCAACCATCAGCGGTTCGAATGACCCGCAGTATCACTCGCACTGATACTATCACTAGCCTTAGGAGTATCGAAGACGCCCTCGGCGAATCACCGCCGCCCCCTGCCTTTCTGGAAACGCCTGTGTGGGCGAAGGCTGGGCTGCACCTATTGGGCCCGTGTTCCCCCCCAGCTGTCGTTGAAACCTTGCGAGAAACACGTCAGGAACTGAAAGAATGAGGAGAAGAAGGCCAAGGGAGTAGGAGGAGGAGGAGGAGGAGGAAGAGGAGGAGTAGGAAGAGGAGGAACAGAAAAAGGAGGAGGACTGGAAGCCTCTTGGGGCATTATTGGGGTCTCCTGGGAGCTTCCTGGGGGCCTGTTGGAGGCCTCTTCGGGGCCTTCTTGGGCCTCTTGGGAGCGTTTGGGAGGTTGTTCGGGGCCGCTTTGGCCGTTTTCGGGCGTCCCTGGCCCGTCTGACGCCGTCGGAAGCCGTCTTGGATGCCTTTCTGAATTGACTTGGGGCCCTCTTGGGGCGCTTCAGGGACGTCTTGGAGACCATCTTGGGCGTCTTGGAGGCCTTTTTGGACTGTCTTGGAGCCGTCTTGGAGGCCTCTTGGGCCATCTTGGAGGCCTTTGGGGTCACCTTGGGGTGATATTGGAGGCCTTTTGGGCCGTCTGAGGCTGTCGGAAGGCCAAAAAGAAGCACATGACAAAACCTTCAAAAATTGATGGACAATCAATGATTTTGAGGATCTCCACGAGGCCTCTCGGGCTGCCTTGGAGGCCTCTTGGGGGCCTCTTGGAGCCATCTTGAGCCGTCTTGGAGGCTTCTTCGGCGGACCCGGAGGCATCTCGAATCCTCGCGGGCCCTCTTGGAGGCCATCTCGGACCTTCTTGGGCGAACGTGGAAGCCATCTTGCCCTCTTGGAGGCCATCTTGAGCCGTTTGGGAGAATTGTTGGCCGTTGGTTGAGGTGTACGCACGTTGAGGTGCTTTCCGTTCCCTTCCGGGTGGCCGGCGCGCTGGGCCGCAGCCTCAGGGGGAGTTTGTTCGGGGAAAAGAATGAAAACCAAAAAGCGTGGGATCTACCACGTCAGGCACCCCTTTGATAAATCAATGTCAGCCAGCCTTGACTCCAAATAGATAGGAGGACAGGGGGAGGACGAAGGATGATGGGAGGAGGACACAGGAACAGGACGGGAGGAGAACGGGAGGAGCAAAATCAAGCAAACGGAAGCAAGCAAGCGCCAGCGAGCAATAACAAGCAAGCAAGAGCCAGCGATCAAGTGCAAGCAAGCAAGGGCAAGCAAGAGCAAGCCAGCGAGAGCAAACACGCAAGAGCACCATTGGAAAGAGGGGGGGGCCATTGGAAAAAGGGGGTTGCCATTGGAAAAAGGGGAGGGTGCTAAAGGCCAATTACTTCTGATGAGCTAGGACTCCCTTGAGCTCCAAAGTTGAGCGAAAAGCTGGGGGCACTTTTAGCAACCTTCTCATTCCTGATGGCTGGAAAGATCGTCGGTCGTAGCCCTAGCCTCCTCCTCCTCCTTTCCTCTCCTCCCTCCCTCCCTCCCTCCTCCCCCCTTCCTCCTAGGCCCTCCCTCCTCCCTCATCCCTCATCTCTCCTCCTCCGACCCTCCTCCCTCCTCCCTCTCTTCTCTCGGTTCCCGATTCCTGATGGCTGGAAAGATCGTCGATCGTAGCCCTCACCTCTTCCACCTCCTCCTCCTCCTCCTCCTCCTCCTCCGTGTCCTCCTCCATCTCCTCCTCCTCCCTCCTCCTCCTCCTCCTCCTCCTCCTCCTCCTCCTCCTCCTCCTCTCCTCCTCTTCCTCCTCCTCCCTCCTCCTCCTCCTCCTCCATCCCTCCTCCTCCCCCCCTCTCCTCCTCCTCCTCCTCCTCCTCCTCCTCCTCCTCCTCCTCCTCCTCCGTGTCCTCCTCCTCTCTCCTCCCTCTCTCTCTCTCCTATTTATCCTCCTCCTCCACCTCTTCCTCTTCCTCCTCGTCCTTCTCTTCGTTCTCTCCCCCTCCTCCTCCTCCTCCTCCTCCTCCTCCTCCTCCTCCTCCTCCTCCTCCTTTTGCGTTGACAGACCTTATGTGTGAACATGTGGCGTTAACCCACCACCTCCTCCTCTCCTCCTTTTCCTCCTCCTTATCCTCCTCCTTCTTTTCCTCCTCCTCCTCCTCCTCCTCCTCCTCCTCCTCCCCTCCCTCCTCCTCCTCCTCCTCCTCCTCCCCCTCCCCCCTCCTTAAGAGCACAGGCTCTTAGGCCCCCAGCTCTTATGTCGAAGCGGAAGCAGGATAGGGCAGGCTTCGAGGCAGGGCGGGGCGGGGCGGCATGCCCGGGGGGTGTTGCTAGAGGCTGACCCAAGGTGCCCCCAGGATTTCCATGGAGGCTCGCACGGCCTCCAGAGCACACCCCACAAGGCCTAGAGGGCCCCAGGGGCTCCAACATTGCGCGAACAGCTAGGAGCACCTGTAGCAACCTTTTCCTCCCGATTCCTGATTCCTGATGGCTGGCAAGATCGTCGGTCGTAGTCCTTGGCTGGCAAGATCGTCGGTCGTAGTCCTCACATCCTCCTTCTTTCTCCCTTCTCCTTCTCCTTTATCCTCCTCCTCCTCCTTCCTTCTCCTCCTTTCCTTCCTCCTCCTCCCTCCTCCTCCTTCTCCTCCTCCTCCTCCTCCTTCCTCCTCCTCTCTCCTTCTCCTCCTCCCTCCTCTCCCTCCTCTCCTCCTCCTCTCCTCCTCCTCCTCCCCCTCCTCCTCCGCCTTCCCTCCCTCCGCCTCCGCCTCCGCCTCCGCGTCCTCTCCTCCCTCCTCCTCCTCCTCCTCCTCCTCCTCCTCCTCCTCCTCCTTCGCCTCCTCCTCCTCCTCCCCCTCCTCCTCCGCCTTCGCCTCCGCCTCCGCCTCCGCCTCCGCCTCCCGTCCTCCTCCCCCTCCTCCTCCCTCCTCCTCCTCCTCCTCCTCCTCCCTCCGCCTCCGCCTCCGCCTCCGCCTCCGCCTCCGCCTCCGCGTCCTCCTCATCCTCCTCCTCCGCCCTTCTCGTCCGCATGCTGGGAGGGAAGCGGAGGAAGACCACCTTCATCCGGCACCTGCTCGGTCAGGAGTACCCCAAAGGCGGGCGCTTCGTTGCCCACGTTTACCTCCGGGGGAGCGATGACGGGCTGTTTCGGATCTCAGGGGCAGCCCAGGTATATATCGAGGTAGAGTTGGTGGAGATATGGAGGTCGATGTTGAGGTGGATATTGATTGGGATTGATGTTGAGGAAAAGGAGGAGGATGAGTAGGAGGAGGAGGAGGAGGAGGAGGCGGAGACGGAGGCGGAGGTGGAGGCGGAGGTGGAGGCGGAGGGGCAGCCCAGGTAGATAGCAAAATAGATATTGAGGTAGATAATGAGGAGGGGGAAGAGGAGGAGGAGGTGGAGGAGGAGGAGAAGGAGGATCAGGATTGGTGACGCTGGAGCTGATCCTATTATTACTGACTTGTGTGCATGGATGGAGGAAGACGACCTCCCCTCCCTGCGCTCGCGCTGCACAGCAGCATCGAGTCGCAGAGCAAAGGGCAGGTGCCCGGTCCTGTTTCCGCAGTTCATCAGTTCGCCTCCTGTGCCATACTTGTCAGGCCAGTACGTCCCAGAGTCAGAGGTGTTTTCCTCGTCGCTTGCTGTGCTGGATCGCTCGGAATCAGTGGCAGTCACTGTGTGGTCGGCTAACGTTAACTCGTTGGGTACGCTCTTGGATATCCTGGAAGGAGAAATCTACGTGCACGTTGTCCTACTTCAGGAGCATCGCTTGCGAGATCCAGAGTTGCTTAGCCGTGCCTCGGCCTCTTTGGTTCGTCTTGGGTGGAAATCGGTATGGCTTGCGGGCATACTACCAGGTCCCAACGAGGGAGATTGGTCGGGAGTCTTGGTGATGGCCAGAGATTGGATTGGACTTTACGAGGTCGAGGGAGGTGACAGCATTACGCCTGGTAGAGCCTTGGCTTGTATGGTACATGCTCCGTATTCTCCCTCGCTCTGTGTGGTCTCCTTGTATTTGGAGCACTCCGTGGGCCTCAACGTCGGCAATTCTGAGACCCTCTCCAAGCTTGGGTCGCGCCTGCAGGGTATGGACAGCGAGTTCATTGTTGCAAGTGATTTCAATTTCAACCCCTCCCTCATGCACCAGTCGGGGTTCGTTCAAAACTCGGGGGTCATCTCGTTTACACCGAGGATTGAACTCACTACCCCCCCCAAGGGTGCTCCTGACGTGTTTGATTCCTGTGTTGTGCTTGGCGGCTTGGGTGAGGGCATTCGCAGCATCAACGTTGTTGATAACACCACGTTGCACGCGCATAGGCCAATCCGCCTTTCCTTCCATCCCCATCCCCAGCGTGCGCCCCCCGCCGCGCCCGCCGCCCGCGAGGCAGAGTGGGGCCGGAGCCCACCACCGACATGTTCGTGGCCATCTGCTACGGCGAGGAAGTCACGGTGCGCCCCCCCTCCCTGTGGAGGCTTCCTTGTCGCTGATGATGGTGATGATGATGTTGATGGTGGTGATGATAATGGTGGTGATGATGATGATGATGGTGGTGGTGGTCGTGGTGGTGGTGATGATGATGATGATGTTTTTGATGATGATGATGATGACGATGATGATGATGATTATGATGACAACGACGACGACGACGATGAGGATTAGGATGACGAGGATGATGGTGATGATGATGATGATGATGATGATGATGATGATGACGATGATGATGATGATGATGGTGATGGCGATGCTGATGATGGTGATGATGGTGATGATGATGACGACGCCGATGAGGATGATGCTGATGATGATGGTGCTGATGATGATGATGATGATGGTGGTGGTGATGATGATGATGATGATGATGATGATAGTGATAGTGATAGTGATAGTGATAGTGATAGTGATAGTGATAGTGATAGTGATGGTGATGGTGATGGTGATGGTGATGATGGTGCGACCCGACCGCCCCGCCCTGCGAACGTTTCTGTATATGTCATTGCTTATTCCCCAATTCGTTGTGCAGCGTGCGCACGGCGTTGCTCGCCCAAGTTGAGCTGAGCCAGTCTGGCCAGGGCCAAGAAGGGCCCGCCAAAACCAAAACGGCAACCCATCGTTCCAGAGGTTGGCATTGGTGGGTCGTCCCGTTTTGTGACAGGCGTTGCCAGGATTCCATGAGTTTTCGAATAGTTTTCGGTGCCGGTGGGTCGCTGGTGGTTGCCGGGGAGGGGGCGGGGATGGGATTGCGCTGATTTCAGGGTCGGCGGCGCGCCCAGGGGAAGTGAGAAGGAGAAGACCTTCTCAGAAGGTGGCGGGACTTGTCAGAAGCGCTCTCTGATAAGTTTGCTGAGTCTTCGGGGGAGGCCCGGAGCACTCCTCAGAAGGCCTGGGGCCTTCCGAGCCTCCCGAGAAGGCCAGCCCCGCCTCGCTTCCACCCCGGGTGCGCCCCCCTGCCGGTAGAGGCTTCCTTGTCGAGGCTGCGGCTAGAGTTCGCTTTCTTCCACGTCGGGGCTACGGCCTCCACGCCGTGCCCTGCCGGGCACGAGCTCCCCAGCGGAGCCGTCCTCGATTTCCTCCGTTGACCTCCGCTGACTTCGTCCGCGGTTCCCTCCTCGTCCCTCTGGCGTTCGTTCGTTCGTTTCCCCTCCTCCCCCCCGCCATTTCACCAACACGCCAGTACACCATGCCACCAGCAGGCGCTGTCGAGGCCTCTCCCCCGTCTCTCCCCGGTGCGGCGGGCGCCGATCATGACCAGGCCCATCCCGGGCCAGGGTCGGTGTGGGCGAGCAGATGGCGCCCTGGTGCAAGTGCGCCTCTCCCCCGCGCCCCCGCCCAGCCTTCAGGTGCTCCCCCATGTCGTTGCACATTGCTCTCCTCCCCCTCCTCCATCCCCCTCCTCCATCCCCCCTCCCCCTTCTCTCCTCTTCCTCTTCTCCTCCTCCTCCTCCTACTCCTCCTCCTGTCATCCTGTCATCCTATCATCATGTCCTCCTCCTCCTCCTCCCTCCTCCTCCTCCTCCTCCTCCTCCTCCTCCTATCCTCCTTCTCCTCCTCCTTCTCCTCCTCATCCTCCTTCTCCTCCTCCTCCTGTCCTCCTCCCCCTCCCCCCGCCTTCAGCTGCTCCCCCCGCTCCGTCCCCAGAGATCCGACGCTCCGAAAAAATGTGAGCGGCGGATTTTGGGCCGTTTTCGGCCTCGGGGGGCCCTCGCCAGGCCTCGGGACCGTCAAAAAACGCTCGGGACGAAGAACCGAAACCTAGGAAAGTGGTCCAGACCTCCGGCGCCAACGCTTCGAAAAAATAAGAGCGGCCTAATGTTAGGGTCCCCTTCCCGTTGTTCCCGTCCGCCTCTCGCTCGCTCCCCCTTTCCAGGGCTCGTCTCGGCTTCTACGATTCGATCGGATTCGACTTGAATGACCTCCGATTCCGATTCGATTCGACCTCGGATTCCGATTTGGATTCCGATTTATCCCTTTTCCCATCCGGCGACGACGACGACGGCGACGCTCATGATCACGACGCCCACGACGTCGACAAGACGAAGGCGACGACGACGACGACGACTACGACGACGACGACGACAACGACGACGACAACTTCCGTTCCCCCATGCCCCTCGCCGCCTCCCCATATACAATAGCCGTATAGCGAAACTCGAAGAAGGCAAAACGGCATAACCGTAAATTTTCGAAGCTCCGCGTGGCTTTCTTGGATCGGCGCTGGGGCCCTGGCGGCGTCTCTGGCGCCGCCCCTGGCGCGCTCCGCGCTCCTGGGAGGGGTGTCCTGCGCATATCCAGAAATCCGCGCTGACCTCCGAAAGTTTATATGTGTTTATGAAATTTGTTATTTCCCGATCTGCCTCTTTCCCTCCTCTACCCCCATGCCGCTCGTTGCCTCCGGGTACGGCGAGAAGGCGACGGTGCACCCCCTGCGTGCTGTTGCAGGCTCGTCCTTGCGGGCTGGGCCACTTCTGTGCCACTTCTGTGCTCACCGTACGTATTCTTCTCCAGGCCCGTCTTCCCTTTCCTCACTCCTCCTCCTGCGTCCCTCTCCTCGGTCCTTCCTTGCCTCCCCCCTCCTCCCCACGCTGAGACTCCGCGCGCGCACTGATGCCTTCGCGCGCGCATGGCGCGCGGCTGAATTGGCGCGCGCTGGAGATGTGCGCGCGCTCGCCGATGCCTTCGCGCGCGCGCGCCTCCGCTGCGTGCGAAGCGCGAGGCGCACGTGCGCGCACAACAAAGTAAGTAGTGACTCACCCGAAACAGCGCGTAGTCCGTCCGCGGTGCACATGCCGCAAGACACAGCGTCAACGCGAGAGCCATGATTCGGGGCGGGCGGTGGTGTCAGAGTTGAATTCCCATATCGCCCAGTGCAGGTCGGCACGCTTCAGTTGGGAATGCTGGAAAATCAGTTCGATGCTTTTGTCAAACGCTCTGCCTGCGGATCCTGGCGTACAGGTAGCGAGGAGGTGAACAATCCGACCGAGGCGCCCCCCACGTCAAGGGCACCGCCTCCCGCCACGGCTTCTCCTCGGGCGGCACAGGGCGCTCCATGCGCGGGGGGTTGGCGGGCCCGCGGGCCTCTCTTGCCCCAGCTCTTGGCGGCCAGGGTCGAAGCTCGCCGAGGGGCAGCGAACGCGATCCTCGATCCTCGATCCTCCCCTTCCGCGATCCTCGATCTTCGATCCCCGACCCTCCTCGTCCTCCCCCCTCCTGCGTGCCTCTACATCTTCCCCGCCCCGGTGAATCTGAGGAGCTCGCCGCTCCCCTCGGCGCGCTCTCCTGGGCACGTCCGGTCGTGGCCGCTCCCCTCGGCCGTGGCGGTTTCTGGGGCGGCGAACAAGGATGGGGTCATGCCCGTAGGGTATCAGGGAAGCTAAGCAGCCCCATCGTCGGTGAGAGCAAACCTAGGATCAGAGCTACTCGCGAAAGGGTGTCGTATGGAATGCAATTGACGGATCAAGAGCGCCAGCCCAGCGCACCAGGATTTTGCCCTGGAAACAACGCTGCCCCACAGCGACCGCCAAGGCCAGGGTCCCGTGAGGCGCGTTTGGCGGTCGAGGCCTTGCGAAGTTGGGGCAAGTGAGGGAAGCAGAAGCGCCCCTGAGGCGTCCTCCATGTGCCGTCCTTTATCCAGTGCATGGCTGCCCGAGGGCACGGCGGTGGCGCCTCGCCCCGGGCCCGCCTGCTCTCCCATGGATTCTGCACGACCTCATCTTCGCCCACCCCGAAGCTGGTCCGCCCACATCGCGTACCTGCCCACCCCCGTGAGGGCCCGCCAGGGGCGCTTGCTCGTGGTTGCCTCCTTCGTTTTGGTGCCGCCGTCGCTGCTACCGCCGCCAGGTGACGCCGGGGAACGCGCTCATCTACGATCAGGCGCGCCTACATTGCCAGCGCTTACCTGTGCCCGTCTGCAGGTTGGAGAGGCCCCGTGAGTGGCTGTCGAGATTTGGCCGAGCTGTGGCTCTTGAGACATGACGGGCAGGCCGCAGCGCCTGAGGTTGCGTCATCGGGCCCCAGAGTTTGACAGCCAGAACACGACGCAGCGCGAAATTGGGGTTTGCCTGAAATTCGTCAGACCTACATCATTATACCATGCCTCAACGCGCCTTGGGGCACGATGGCAGATCTAAGGTCTATTATATTCTTGACGCTGCGCGTGTCCCACCAGTCGTGGCGAGCTGTCATTGGTTTGGGCCCTTGTGGGAGCCCTGAAGGCGATCGTGGGGCTCTCTTGGGGCCCTCTTCGGGGCATTGCAGGCTCTCCTAAGACCATCTTTGAGGCCATCGAGCAACAAAAGAGGGCGGCACTAATTTGGCGCCCTGCGTCGGAGTCCGAAGCATGGCTCCTCTTCAGGCGCGATCTTGGGGCGCTCTCTAGGTCGTATTGAATTTGTCCTGGGTCTCTTGGCCAATGGTGGGGTCATACTACGGCCTTAGACATCCACCAGAAACGAAACTGCTATAAGTCTAACATTCTTACGCAAGCAGTATGGTATATAAGATGTCGGCCTCGGGGCCACTTGAAGCAGTCTCTGGGCTGCCTTGGGGCCTTCCGAAGGAATGCTGGAGGCCATATTAAGCCAACCTGGACCATCGGGTAACATCTTGGCGGTCATCTCAAGGTGTCTGGGCCGTCTTGGAGCTATCAACTTGGCCCCAAAGCGTCCAATGATACCCTCGGGAGGCCAACATCCTTGAACACACCTTAGGTGTTTCAAGTGCTCTTGGCTTTGAACGAAGGGGAATTCTCGATTACAGTCCCCCTCGTCGGAGACTGAATAAACACCTCTTGGGGCGCTCTGGAGGCCACCTTGGAGCCTTCACGAGTCCTTCTTGAGGCTCTCTTGGGCGATCTTGGGGCCATCATGGGGCCTCAGACGCCCACTGGAAGCCAGGAGCCGAGGAAACAACCATTATCAATCAAGAAACATTGCTCAAGTACGAGAAGTGTTGTTGGCCTCTCGGGTTGTTTCGTTGAGAGGCTCCATGCCCACTTGGAGCCTTCTTGTGGCGGTCTGGGGGCCCCCTCGAGACAAATTGGAGGACATATCTTGGTACATATCTTGTGCCACCTTGGGGCCCTCGATGATGATCACGATGCTGCTGCTGACGGTGGTGATGATGATGGTGGTGATGATGGTGGTGGTGATGATGCTGATGATGATGCTGCTGATGATGATGCTGATGCTGATGATGCTGCTGATGATGATGATGTCGGTGCTGGTGATGGTGGTGATGATGATGTTGATGATGGTGATGGTGGTGATGGTGATGGTGATGGGGGTGATGGTGATAGTGATGGTGGTGGTGGTGAGGATGTTGATGATGCTGATGATGATGACGGTGCTGATGATGATGATGCTGGTGATGATGACGATGGTGCTGATGGTGATGGTGATGATGATGATGATGGTGCTGATGATGCTGATGCTGATGATGCTGATGATGATGATGCTGGTCACGACGATGCTGATGATGATGCTGCTGACGATGATGATGATGATGATGATGATGATGCTGATGCTGATGCTGATGCTGATGCTGATGCTGATGATGATGCTGATGATGATGATGATGCTGATGCTGATGCTGCTGATGCTGCTGATGATGATGATGATGCTGATGATGATGATGATGATGATAATGATGATGATGATGATGATGATGATGATGATGATGATGATGATGATGATGATGATGATGATGATGATGATGATGATGATGATGATGATGGATGCACTTATCTTGCTAAGCGGTGGTGCTTTGTGACACGGGTATGTTTGGCCCCCCTGGGACTCTGCAAATCCAGGAGTGGCCTCGCGTGCTGAGCGCTCTGGGCCAAGACCCAGGGGAGGACTTGCCTCAAAGAGGACTGCTTGGCCTCGGCCCCCCCCGTCCAGACGCAAGGGAGTACTTCCCCCCAGGCGGGCGGACCCCTCCGGTCGACGGGCGGCCACAATGTTGGCGTCGTCGGTGGACTCCAAGACGGCCCCAGGACGCCGCCAAGACGGCCCCAGACGGCCAGACAAGACAAGACAAGACGGGGCAAGAGGAGACCAGGCTTCAGAAGACGCGCTAAGACGGCCTTCAGGTCGCCCCAAGAAGGCCCCAGGACGCCGCCAAGAGGGCTTCGGGGAGGCCAAAAACTATCCAAAACCTATGGAACTGATTGATTTGTGCCTTCGAAGGTGGCCTCAAGAGAGCCCCAAGACGGACCTAGGAGGGGCCTCAGAGGTTCCCAAAAACACCCTAAGAGAACACCCCAAGACCATCTAAATTGCGAAAATGCTAACAGTATCCAGCGTCTTGGGCGCCGAAACACACCCAAGAGTCCTTCGCCTTGCGCGTGAGTGGAAGTCTTCCAGCTTGGGGGAGCGGCAAACCCCGAGGGATGGAACAGGAAACGGTCTAAATCGCTTTGGCCCAAAGGGCTAGTGGGATTCGAACAGACCGCGGTCAGACTTTGCAGGGGCTCTCGTGGCATGAATTGCGCGAGCCAGAGGCGGTGTACACCGTGCCTGCCCATCCCACCAGGGCGAAGGTTGCTCTGGTGGACGACAAGAACGACGACGACGAGGACGACGACGACGAGGAGGCCCACCGACAGCTCTCGAGAGGCCCCTGCGCAGGAGGAGGACCAGGAGGAGGGGCGCCAGCTAATCTTTGCCGTCGAGCGACGGCTACTCGTTGCCGTGCTGCTCCACGCAGCTGTGTGCTCTCACGAGGGCGGCGCGGGCCGACCGCGCGACGTCAGCGTCCTGGCCAGCCTCCGCCGCCCGACACCACAGACCCTGGCGGCGGAGGGAGCCGAAAGCGGCGGCCTCGGCGGCCCGGCTGCGGCTCCAGGTGCGCTGGGCAGCGGTCGGACGTGTGCATTTTTTTCTTGGCGAGGACCATCGGGGAGCATCTTGGTTCATCTTGGGGGGGGGGAGACAGGCACGACACCCAAAAAGGCACGGGGAAGAGTCGTCCGAGCAATGGCAAGTTCGTATCGTATGGCGGAAAGGCGCGGTCGGGTCCAGGTGTGTGGCCCTAGAGGAAGAGACAATTGCATACACATGAACTTTCGGAGCTCCGCGCGGATCTCTTGGATCTGCTTTGGCGGCGCCTCCAGATCCGCCTCTGGCGCGCTCCGCGCGCTAGGCAGGGAGGTCCAGCGCGGATCCGAGAAAACCACACGGAGTTGCACAAGTTTATGTTTGTGCCGCATTTTGTTCTTCTACAGCCAAGACGCTGAAGCAAGCAATATCTTTGGTTCGAAGGAGGCTCGATGTGCCTCAGGTCCTTCCATGGTTGTTTCTCTAGCGCTCCTCGTTCACGCAGCCGCTTTGGGGGCCAAGAGGGGGCTTCGTTCCTTATTTGTCGTTGCTTACTTCAGCAGCCCGACTGTACTCGGGTGTGCGGCCCGCCTCACGACAGGCCCGCCCAGCCGCGGGCGCTCCGCCGAGCTCTCCGGGCGGGGGTCCCTCCTCCTCCTTTCCCCTCCCTCCTTCCTTCCGGCCTGTCTTGTTCTTCCCTTCCCGCTTCCTTTTCCTTCCCGTCCCTCGGGGAACAAGCAATGACATAAGTGTGAACTTTCGGAGGTCCGCTCGGAGTTCTTGGACCAGCGCTGGCCAGGGGGGCCCAGCGTCGGTCAGAGAAATCCGCGCGGACCTCCGAGTCATTATGTTTGTGGAACCGTTTGGTTCTCTACCCCCTCCCTCTCTCATACTGCCTTCTTCTCTTCCTCCGCCTCCTCCCCCTGCCTCCTGCTCCTCCTATGCTTATGTCCCCATTCCCCATAAGCATGTACCCTGTAACGCCCCTCACGAGGGTAGGAGCTAATTGAATCAGGTTAGTTTTGTTTAGCTTGGTATTGTCTCCTGCTACTTGAGTCCCAGTCCTCCTCCTCCTCCTCCTCCTCCTCCTCCTCCCGTCCTGCTACTTGAGTCCCAGTCCTTTCTCCTCCTTTCTTGTCCTGGATTTCTGCACGCCATCCTCGTCATTCTCTTCCGCCTCGTCGTCGTCCTGCCCCCCACCCATCCATCCTATATCTTTGCTCTGTCGTCGTCCCCTCCCTCTTCCCTCAGACTGTTTGTTATCCCATCGGCATCAATATCCCCTCATTATTCCTCGTACTTGCACTCGCCATTCTGCTTATCGTCGCTTATCGTGCTGCTGCTGGTCCCACTTCTTCTCCGAGTTGTCCTCATAGTATGGATTACGTAGCACCCCGCAACTGCGGATAAGAGTGAGGGGGCGGGCGCGGGCGACGCGGGCGTCGAGCCGGCGGACCTCGTGGCCCTCACCTTCCCTGTCGATGGCGCTGTCCTCCTCCTCCTCCTCCTGCTCCTCCTCCTCGTCCGCGTCCTCGTCCTCATCGTCATCGTCGTCCGCCTCCTCCTCCTCCACCTCCTCCTCCTCTTCCTCCCTTCCCTCTTCCTCTTTCTCCACATTATCCTTACATTCTCTCTTCTTCCGCGTCCTCCGCGTCCCCTGTTTACTCCTGTGCTTCGCCCTTCTCAAGATAACGGCAAACCAATCCTTTGTTCCACTGAATGCTCCCCGATTTCTCTGATCCAGGCAACTCGCCAGGGTAAAGTTGCTGGATGGGTTGGTGTGGATGAGCGGAGCTAGAAGAGGTCTTGGGGGGCTCAGACGGCATGCAAAATCCGCCGCCGCGCTTGTGCGGCACTGGCGTGCTGTGTGGTAGGGTTCGTGGACGCCCCCCCTCAGGAGGGTCCTTGAGCGAAGCGGCCCCTTAATTGTGGGCGCCTTGAGGCAGCTTCCCCTGAACCCATGCTTTGGGAACGGATGCCGAATTGCAGCAGGCAGCTGGATTGTCAATGAACGTGTTCAGACACAGCCCCGCCGCAGGCGCCGATGTGCTGTTGTAGAGTCAACGTGGGCCGGATCGGGGGAATGGCACGAAGGCGCTTTCCCAAACCAGTGCGAGCAAACCCGCCGCAGGCGCCGACTTGCGTGCTCTGACAAGTTCAGCGCGGGGGGGATCGCTGGTGGGGCACCCGGAACGAATGCAAAAACAGCCCGCCGCAGGCGCCGAATTTTTAGCTTGTTCAGTGAAAGTCGTTTGGGTCGCGGGTGGGTCGCGGGCTCTCCACCTCCACCTGGAGGGAATTCAAAAACAGCCCGCCGCAGGCGCCGAACGTTTTGATTTGTACAATGAACGCGGTTTGGGTCGCAGGTTCTCCACCTGGAACGAATGCAACAGAAACCCGCCGCAGGCGTTGAAGTTTTGGCTTGTTCAGTGAACATAGTTTGGGTCGCGGGTGGGTCGTGGGGTCTCCCACCTCCACCTGGAAGGAATTCAAAAACAGCCCGCCGCAGGCGCCGAACATTTGACTTGTATACTGAACGCGGTTTGGGTCGCAGGTTCTCCACCTGGAACAAACGCACAAAAAAAACCGCCGCAGGCGCCGAAGATTTAGCTTGTTCGTTGAACGTAATTTGGGTCGCGGGTGGGTCGCGGGCTATCCACTTCCACTTGGAAGGAATTCAAAAACAGGCCGCCGCAGGCGCCGAACATTTTGAGTTGTACAATGAAAGCGGTTTGGGTCGCGGGTGGGTCGCATATTCTGCATTTGGGGCGAATGCAAGAAAAACCTGCCGCAAGCGCCGCAAATTTTGGGTGGGTCGCGGGGTGGGTCGCGGGTGGGTCGCGGGCGCGGTTTGGGTCGCGGGTGGGTCGCAGTTCTCCACTTGGAACGAATGCAAAAGAAACCCGCCGCAGGCGCCGAAAATTGGGTTGGGTGGGTCGCGGTCGCGGGGGTCGCGGGTGGGTCGCGGGTGGGTCGCGGTGGGTCGCGGGTGGGTCGTCCGGTGGGTCGCGGGTGGGTCGCCGGGGGGGTCGCCGGGGGGGTCGGGGTGGGTCGCGGGTGGGTCGCGGGGTGGGTTGCGGGTGGGTCGCGGGGGGGTCGCGGGTGGGTTGCGGGGTGGGTCGCGGGTGGGTCGCGGGGTGGGTCGCGGGTGGGTCGCAGGTGGGTCGCGTGGTGGATCGCAGGTGGGTCGCGGGGCGGGTCGCGGGGCGGGTCGCGGGTGGGACGACGACAACAAACAACAACAAACAACAAACAACAAACAACCAACACCACCACCAACAACAACAACAACCACAACCACAACCACAACAACAACAACAACATCAACAACAACAACAATAATCCGCATCACGGAATTCCACTTCAGCCACGCACCCAGGGACAGTGAATGACCGTTCGGTTCAGCCCCCTCACTCTGATTATGGTGTTCCCTATCCTTCCACATGCTCTGCACGGTGCCCCTCGTAGTTTTGGTTATTATCGTAATCCTCATCCGGTTATTGGTTCAGTGCTCCTCCTGCTGTGTCTTCTCCCAGTCCCCGTCTACCTCCTATCCCGCTTCTCCTCCTTCTGTTGATCTCCAGTTGCTCATGCTGCTTCTCTAATTCCTCCTGCTCCTCCTCCTGCTCCTCCTCCTCCTCCTCCTCGTCCTCCTCCTCCTCCTCCTCCTCCTCCTCTCCTTCCTCCTCATCATTATGTCCTTCTTCTCCGTCGCCTCAGTCTTCGCATTCAGCTGCGGCTGATGCTCATGGCTGCTATTTCTTACCCTCCTCATTCGTTCTCCTTCTCATCCTATTCCTCCTGTTCCTCCTCCTCCTCCTCCTCCTTGTCTCCCTCCTGCTCCGCCTGCTCCTCCTTTCCTCCTCCCTCGCCTACTTGTCCTACTCCTCCTCCTCCTCCTCCTTCCCCTCTTCCTCGCTTTCCCCCCTCCTGATCAATCTTCTCCACCGTGGTGGCTCTGGGAGCCGTTGAAGGCAACGTGAAGGTCCAGGAAGCCACAGGCGGCCGGAGGAAGCCGTAGGAAGCCGCTTGGCGGCCTAAGCAGCCCCACGGAGCGTCGAAGAAGTGATGAAAAAGTGTCGACGATTCCTCGAACCAGTCATCTTGTGTGCACGATTTGTATCATATCCATGGTGTCTTGGAATTTGGGGCTCCCCTACCCAGCAACCAGAGGTGCAGTGGATATGGACACAAATCTGGCGCCTGGAGGCTAGATTTGTAACCATATCCAGTGCGCCTCTGCCTTTTGACGCCCCTTCCCAGAAAGTCCAAGGCGCACTGGATGTGGATCTACAGATCTTGCCCGCCTATGTGCGTCATGTTCCGAGGGCGTCCGCCACATGGGTGCGGTCCCCCCCGTTGCTGGGCGGCTGGCCTCCCCTGGCCGTTCCGCCGGGCCTTCTGCAAAGGCCCCACGCGGAGCGCCCTCATCGGAAACTTGGCCGCCCGAGAGATGGCTGAATCGCTCTCTCGTCGCAGCGCTGCGCGATGGTTTTATGAAGTTCGGCTCCCGCCCGTGGGCGGCCCTCTTTTTGCCCTCGCCGGGTCGTCGAAGTGAGGGACCGCGTGCGAGCGCCTTCCATCCGCTGGGTGGCAACGCGTCCCAGTCCCGATGTCGTGTTGCGCCACCATGGACCCTTACGTTCTGGCATGGAAGCTGGGAATGGGCCTGGTCCGCTGACTCGTTCGACCTCGCTAACTTGACTCCTCCTGTTATCTCTCACCCCACTACCACCATCTCCTGGTCCTGTTCGTGCTGCCTCCCCATTATCCTCCTCCTCCTCCCACCTCAGCCTTGTCCTTCCACATCATCCCCGTCGTCGCCGCCGTCGTCGTCGTCGCCGTCGTCGTCGTCGTCGCCGTCGTCATCGTCGTGGTGGTGGTGATCGTCGTCGTCAGTGTCCCCCTCCTCCTATCCCTCCGTTCTCTTTTCCGCTTGTGCCATCCGCCTCGCGCCCCAGACGCTGCCCTTCGCGCCCCTGGGTCGCTTCGGCAACGGCTTCCTCGGCAGGCTGGAGTGTGCCCAGGCCTGCGCCGCCGTGCTGCACGGGAGGCCTAAGGGAGGGAACGGAGGTCACATGTCGGGCGGGACCCCGCGTTTCGGCGGCGAGCCGCTGCCAGCGCAGGGCGAATCGGTGTGGATGTGGAGACTGCCGTGTGGTGGCCTCCAAGCAGGACAGGGTGCGGCGCGTAGATGGGTGGGGGGATTTAAGGTGCACGTTTTGTGCCTGAAAGGGGCCTCCTGGGGCCCAAAATGGGTCACGAAAGGTGCACGCCCCCCCCCCCCCACACACCCCGATATGGCCCCCCCAGTAAGCAACGCCCGAAGGGCTTGGACGGACTCCCTCCGCACCTCGCGCCCGGTAGCTTGACGAAACGGGTCGCTGAGATTGCGCGCGCCAAAACGCCGCAGGCCGATGTGTTGTGAGACGGGGGGTCCAGCTTTGCGTCGATCGGCCCGTAGCCCCAGAGCGCCTGTCCCGTCCGCCAAGGACCCACCAAGAGACATTCGAGAGCCCCCCCTTAGACCACAAGAGGTTTTGTCCGGCCTCACATCGACAACAAACCCATCCCGAACGGCAGTCAAACACCCTCTTCACGTGGCTAGGCGAGGAGGGCAGTCTGCCAGCGTGGGGTGGCGGGAGGGGGTTGCAAGAGGAAGCAGACTAAACCACCTAAGCCCAGAGGGCTGGTGGGATAACGACAGGAGCCTCTGGAAGATCAGGGAAGAGGGTGTACTGGAGCGAGGCGTACTCGGGAGAGCAGCGACGCAGAGTGGCAGATGGTGGGCGGAGGAGAGGGGCCCAGCTGGAGGGAGGAGGACGAGAAGGAGGAGGTGACGTAGCGTTCTCGCCCCACCCACTGTTCTCTGAGCTTGTTGTTGGTCTTTGCTACTGTAGGTTTTGGCAGCCTCATACCATAACTCTTCAGTGCGAAGCCCTCGATCGACGAGGAGCTTGGTCCGCAATGCTGGATGATTAGGAAGAGGGTGCACCGACAATTCGCGGGTGAAAGGAAACATTTGGGCCGCACAGGTCGATTGGAGGGAAGTCAAAGGACGTCACTTGGCGTCACACACCACTCGCCTGCGTCGACAGCAGAATGCACCGAATGCCCACGGGGTTGTTCGAGAGGCAGGTCGTTTCGATAGCAAATCATGGGAGCCGTGTGTACCCTCCGAATTCCGTTTACAGAATGCGCTAGTGTCGACTAGCGTTTGGTATTCGATGAGGAAGCGCCGACCTAGCGTCGATTTAGCGTGGATTAGCGCCGTTGGTTTGCGTCGATCCGCAAGAGCCAGCAATATGGCATGGGAGGCTCCTATGAGTTGGCGACGACGACGACGCTGATGCTGATGCTGACGCTGACGACGACGACAACGCTGACGACGACGACGCTGACGACGACGACGACGGTGCTGACGCTGACGACGACGACTCCACGTGGGCCTCCGCGGCTCGCCTGCCCCAGCGCGCCAGATGCCGAACCCGGTGCTGCAGGGCGTGTCCTTCATCGACACACCGGGACCCGCGACGGCCTGGGTCCCTCGGCCAGAGAAGCTTTGTGGGCTTCAGCTGCGAACTTCAGTATCGTTTGACCGACCCCAATCCCCATCCCCATCCAGACACCCACCATCTCACCCTCCCAAGTGGGGATACACCCCTCGAAACTCGAAGGAAACAGTCCATGTCCCCATCTACGGGGGTACATCGGCCAGTGGGGCCCAGGCCACGCTCAGGGGGATAGGGGTCGGCTAAACGATGCTCAATGTCGGCGACTCAACAGGGTCTGGTTATGGCAGGGTGTGGTTTGCGATCGGCACTGTTGGGGCCTGGGGAGCACGACACTGTCCTCGTCGGGCCTCCTCGGGGGCGCTGCGGAGGACTCTATCGAGGTCCCCTCCCGCCCCCTAGGGTGCCCCCAGTGTGCTGGTTGCAAACCACACCCTTTACAAACCACACCTTTCAGAGTCGCCGACTTGGGGCCAAGGGAGGAGAACAACACCCCGACCCTCATAACCTCGTGGAAGAAACAATTACATAAACATAAACCGCCAGGGGTGGCACTTTTGGGCCAAGGGAGGGGAAAACACCGTGGCCCTTCTATCGGCGGCGCGCCCAGGGGGCCTCTGGCCTTCTGAGAAGCTCTCTCTGTCTTCGGGGAAGGCTCAGAAGTCTCAGAAGGCTGGGGGCCTCCCGAGCCTTCTGAGAATGCCCGCCCCCTCTTACTCCCCCACAGGCTCGCCGCCGATCATAATCTCAAAACTGCATTGACATAAGCTGTCGGCGCTCCGCGCGGATTTCTTGGGATCGGCGCTTTGGCCTCCTTGGCGGCGCCTCCAGCGCCGCCCCTGGCGCGCTCCGCGCGGCGGGGAGGGGGTCCAGCGCGGATACGAGAAATCCTCGCGGAGCTCCACAAGTTTATGCTTATGCTGTCTTTTGGTCCCCATCTCCAAAGGATGGGGTTGCTGTTATTATTCCGACCGCGCCGATTCCTTCCACCTCCTCCCCTTCCTCCCCCAGAGTCACACTCAGGGTCACTACATATGTTATGGTATGATGATGTATCCGATGATGATGGCGGCGGGGATGCTGATTACAATGATGAGGATGGCGATGATGACGACGGTGATGATGATATTGATGATGATGCTGATGATGATGATGAGGATGATGATGACGATGACGATGATGGTGGTGATGATGCTGATGACGATGATGCTGATAATGATGATAGTGACGATGATGATAAGGATTACGGTGATGATGTTGATAATGACGATCATGATGGTAATGATGACAGTGATGCCAAGTTTGGTCGCGATGATGATGATGCTGATGATGGCGAGGATGATGATGACGATGATGGCGATGACGATGATGATGATGATAAAACGGTGATGCTGATTATGATGATGATGCTGGTGATGCTGATGATGCTGATGATGCTGAATGCTGCTGATGATGCTGATAATGATGATGATGATGATGATGATGATGATGATGATGATGATGATGATGATGATGATGGTGATGATGATGATGATGATGATGATGATGATGATGATTGTGATGATGCTGATGATGCTGATGATGGTGGTGATGATGATGATGGTGGTGATGATGATGCTGATTATGATGCTGCTGCTGCTGCTGCTGCTGCTGCTGCTGATGATGATGATGATGATGATGATGATGATGATGATGATGATGATGATGATGATGCTATTGGTGGCGGGGCAGAAACCTTGGGATGTCTCGGACGAGGTGCTGGTTCCAGCACAATGGGGGGCCGCTAGGGGGTATCTCACTCGTCCGTTCGCGCCCAGATTGCGGGGATGTCTCGAGCGGTTGGCCCGTTTCGCACCCTCAACATCCTCCGCTTCCGGAACAGAGTTTAGGGATGTCTCGGGCGGGGCGCTGGCGTTCGCATCCCAGGAGGGAGCAGATTGCGAGGATGCCCCGAGCGGCTTACCTGTGGTGGCCAGATTCGTGTGCCTTCAGAGCAGATTCTGAGGATGTTTCGGGCGAGGCGTGGAGCTACCCATATGGTGGTGCAGACTGCGCGGTTGCGTCGCTGGTGATGGTGATGATGATGACGATGATGATGAACGGTGATGGTGATGATGATGATGATGATGATGATGATGATGATGATGATGGTGATGGAGATGCTGATGCTGATGCTGATGATGATGATGATGATGATGATGGTGGTGGAGGTGTTGGTGGTGGTGATGATTGTGGTGATGATTGTGGTGATGCTGATGATGATGATGCTGATGATGATGATGAAGGTTGTGGTGGTGGTGGTGGTGATGGTGTTGACGATGATCATGATGATCATGCTGATCATGGTGTTCATGATGATGGATATGACGACGATACCGACGATGATGACGATGACAATGATGATGATGATGATGATGATGATGATGATGGTGATGGTGATGATGATGATGATGATGATGCTGATGATGATGATGATGATGATGACAATGACTATGACTATGTTGTTGATGATGATGCTGATGATGATGATGATGATGGTATTGATGATGATGATGATGATGATGATGATGATGATGATGATGATGATGATGATGATGATGATGGGATGATGGTGATGATAATTTGGGGGTAGGAGGAGGAGGAGATGGAGGCGGAGGCGGAGGAGGAAGAGGAAGTGGAGGTGGAGGCTCATAATGAGTTTGACTCTTATCCACTCGAGTAAGAGGATGAACTGAGGGGCAAGAACATGGGCACTTCACAGCGTATTCTGTGTGCGTTACGTATGTTACTGAGGATGGAGGTGTTGGAGGACGGAGCAGCGAGGAGGGAGGCTGAAGCTTCCTACCGGGCCACCTGGTTGCGGGGGCCAGAGGATCGAGGTTCGAGGCTTGAGGCTGCTGCCGCGCCGAGCACGGCAACCCCGATGATGATGATGATGATGATGATGATGATCATGATCATGATCATGATCATGATCATGATCATGATCATGATCATGTTGATGATGATGATGATGATGATGATGATGATGATGATGATCATGATGATCATGATGATCATGATGCTGATTATTGAGATGATGGTGATGATTGCGATGATGATGGTGATGATGATGCTGATGATGATGATGCTGATGGTGGTGATGATGATGCGGATGATGATGAGGATGATGTTGATGGCGATGATGCTGATGATGATGATGGTGATGGTGATGGTGATGGTGATAATGATGACGATGACGATGATGCTGATGATGATGATGATGGTGATGGTGATGGTGATAATGATGATGACGATGATGATATCGACGATGATGATGATGTTGATGCTGATGATCGTGGAGGTGGTGGTGGCGATGATTCTCACACGCTCGATGATTATGATGAGGATGCTGCTGCTGATGATGATGGTGGTGATGATGCTGATGATGATGACGATGATGATGATGATGATTTCAATGATGATGATGTTGATGATGGTGTCGATGATGATGATGACGATGCTGATGATGATGACTATGGTGATGATGATGATGATGACGATGTTGATGGCGATGATGATGATGACGATGATGATGATGATGATGATGATGCTGGTGGTGGTGGTGGTGGCGATGATGACTCGCACGCTCGACGATTATGATGAGGATGATGGTGATAATGATGATGATCACGATGATGACGACGATGATGCTGATGATGATGATGGTGGTGGCGATGATGACTCACACGCTCGACGATTATGATGAGGATGATGATGATGGTGGTGATGATGCTGATGTTGATATGGCGGTGATGATGATGATGGTGATGGTGATGATCATGATGATGCTTATGATGATGACGGTGATGGTTGTGGTGAGGATGATGATGATGATGACGATGATGCTGATGGTGATGGTGATGATGATGATGATGATGATGATGATGATGATGATGATGATGATTATGACAATGACTATGACTATGACTATGTTGTTGATGATGATGCTGATGATGATGATGATGATGGTATTGATGATGATGATGATGATGATGATGATGATGATGATGATGATGATGATGATGATGATGATGATGATGATGATGATGATGATGATGGGATGATGATGGGATGATGGTGATGATAATTTGGGGGTAGGAGGAGGAGGAGATGGAGGCGGAGGCGGAGGAGGAAGAGGAAGTGGAGGTGGAGGCTCATAATGAGTTTGACTCTTATCCACTCGAGTAAGAGGATGAACTGAGGGGCAAGAACATGGGCACTTCACAGCGTATTCTGTGTGCGTTACGTTATGTTACTGAGGATGGAGGTGTTGGAGGACGGAGCAGCGAGGAGGGAGGCTGAAGCTTCCTACCGGGCCACCTGGTTGCGGGGGCCAGAGGATCGAGGTTCGAGGCTTGAGGCTGCTGCCGCGCCGAGCACGGCAACCCCGATGATGATGATGATGATGATGATGATGATCATGATCATGATCATGATCATGATCATGATCATGATCATGATCATGTTGATGATGATGATGATGATGATGATGATGATGATGATGATCATGATGATCATGATGATCATGATGCTGATTATTGAGATGATGGTGATGATTGCGATGATGATGGTGATGATGATGCTGATGATGATGATGCTGATGGTGGTGATGATGATGCGGATGATGATGAGGATGATGTTGATGGCGATGATGCTGATGATGATGATGGTGATGGTGATGGTGATGGTGATAATGATGACGATGACGATGATGCTGATGATGATGATGATGGTGATGGTGATGGTGATAATGATGATGACGATGATGATATCGACGATGATGATGATGATGTTGATGCTGATGATCGTGGAGGTGGTGGTGGCGATGATTCTCACACGCTCGATGATTATGATGAGGATGCTGCTGCTGATGATGATGGTGGTGATGATGCTGATGATGATGACGACGATGATGATGATGATGATGATGATGATGATTTCAATGATGATGATGTTCATGATGGTGTCGATGATGATGATGACGATGCTGATGATGATGACTATGGTGATGGTGATGATGATGATGATGACGATGTTGATGGCGATGATGATGACGATGATGATGATGATGATGATGATGATGCTGGTGATGGTGGTGGTGGCGATGATGACTCGCACGCTCGACGATTATGATGAGGATGATGGTGATAATGATGATGATCACGATGATGACGATGATGCTGATGATGATGATGGTGGTGGCGATGATGACTCACACGCTCGACGATTATGATGAGGATGATGATGATGGTGGTGATGATGCTGATGTTGATATGGCGGTGATGATGATGATGGTGATGGTGATGATCATGATGATGCTTATGATGATGACGGTGATGGTTGTGGTGAGGATGATGATGATGATGACGATGATGCTGATGGTGATGGTGATGATGATGGTGATGGTGATGGTGATGGTGGCGGTGGTGATGATGATGATGGTGATGACGACGATGATGATGATGATGATGATGATGATGATTGTGATGATGATGATGATGATGATGATGATGATAATGCTGATGCTGATGCTGATGCTGATGCTGATGCTGATGCTGCTGATGCTGATGATGATGATGATGATGATGATGCTGGTTTTCCCACTCCCGGGGGGGGCTAGAGTGCGAGGATGTCTCGAGCGATGTGCCTGTTTTGGTAGCCAGATTCGCCAGCGTCCAGAGCAGATTCTGAGGATGTCTTGGGGGAGGCGTTGGTTTCAGCACCCCAAGTGGCCCAGATTGCGAGGATGTCTCAGACGCACTTATGCTCAAACTCACTCGTGGCCAGGCTCATTCATACTCAGACTCGCATTCATCACACACATATTCAGACTCACTCACACTCATATAAACGCTCACTCAGACTCACCCACAATTAGACCCACTTACCCTCAGACTCACTCGTACTCAGACTCACTCGTACTCAGACCCACTCATGTTCACATTCATACTCGTCATACTCATACTCAGACTCACTCACATTCAGACTTACTCACACTCTAAGTCACTCACACTCAGACCCACCCGCACTCTGATTCACCGTAGTCAGACTCACTCGTCAGACCCACTCAGGCTCAGACTCGTAATCGTTATTCTTATACTCAGACCTACTCAAACCAAGACTTACCCACACTCAAACTTATTCTCACTCGGTGTCGCCCATATTCTGATTTACGCGTTCTCGACCCACTCATACCCAGACGCTCTCATACCCAGACTAATTGACACTCGCACTCAACTGTACAAAAACCCGCTTATACCTCAAGCCCGCTTACATTCAAAAATCGTTGCGCCTAAAAGCTCATGGCGGACAGGTCCATGCAAATAGATGCACATCTGGGGAGCTCCACGCAGTGAATCATTCTTCTATCGCCAAGATGCTGAAGCAAGGAATCGCTTGGGTTTGGAGGGGCTCGATGTGCCTCAGGTCCTTCCATGGTTGTTTCTCCAGCGCTCCCGTCCATGCAGCCGCTTTGAGGGCCAAGAAGGGGCTTAAATTCCTTATTTGGTATCGCCTTCGGTGGAGCTCCCTATGGGGCCTCGCTGCGTGTGAGAGGTGTGCCGAATCGGGCGCGGGTACGCCATGCGGACTCTGCCGTTGTGGCCTTCGGTGGAGCTCCTGTGGGGCAACGAAACGTGTGAGGGGTGTGCCGATTCGGGTGCGGGTGCGCCATGCGGATTGTGCCACTTGGGCTTTCGGTGGAACTCCATAGGGGGGCACGAAACGTGTGAAGGGTGCCCCGAGTCGGGTGCGGGTGCGCCATGCGGACTGTGCTGCTGAGGCCTTCGGTGGAGTTCCCCAGGGGGTCATGAAACGTATCAGGGGTGCGCCGAATCGGGTGCGGGTACGCCATGCGGACTGTGCCGCTGAGGCCTTCGGTGGAGCTCTTTATGGGGCCACAAAATGTGCGAGGGGTATGCCGAAGTGGTGGTCATGCTGACGCTGATGCTCGCTGCTGCTGATGACGGTGCCAGTGACGGTGACGGTGACAGTGGTAGTGAGGATGATGATGAGTATGAGTATGAGGATCTTGTATTCCCGCCGCCGGCTTAGTATCCTCTCTAGCGTCGACCCTACCCAGCCAGATACCAAGCCAGCGGCCGCCGGCTTGGTACCCCCCAGGGGGTCCCCCTTACCAAGCCAGCGGCCGCCCGCCGGCTTAGTACCCCGCCGACTTGGTACCCCGCCCAGGGGCTTCCCCCCTACCAAGCCAGCGGCCGCCGGCTTGGTATCCCGCCGGCTTGGTACTTCCCCATGGGTTCCCCCCTACTAAGCCAGCGGCCGCCGGCTTGGTATCCCGCCGGCTTGGTACTTCCCCATCGGTTCCCCCTCACCAAGCCAGCGGCCGCCGGCTTGGTAGCCCGCCGGCTTGGTACCCCCCCAGAGGTTCCCCCCCATACCAACCAAACCAGCGGCCTCCAGCTTGGTATCCCGCCAGCTTGGTTCCCCCCTTGGGGCTCCCCCCTATCAAGCCAGCGGCCGCCGCCTTGGTATCCCGCCAGTTTGGTACCCCCCCAGGGGTTCCCCCCTACCTGGCCGAGGCCTACAGAAGTCTGCTCAGTGGCCGCACACATCGGTGACAGCACCAGACTCATTCCCTATGTTAGAGCATTGGCTTAGGCTCATTGGCTGACGAAGAACGGCGTCAGCGGCGTCAGTACTATACTTTTGAACCCTGGCATATGAGAATTCCTGACAGTTCGACGCATACGACTTCCGCAAACCTTCCATGAGGCTTCCACGAGGCCGTATTCGAGAAGCCCTGACAGTACGACACATATGGCGTTCACGAGTTCATTGTGTGCAGTACGGCAGGCTTGCTTCGCGTAGGCAATTTGATGATCGATATTGTGGACATGTGTTTTGTTACGGGGTGATTGTGATCTTTCCGAGTCGCTGTTGAAATGTCCATTCCGGCGTTGCGCATTTTGTTCATTGAAATGGGTTCGGTGCCGCAGCACATCACCTGGCATCGCCCAGACGTGTGCACGTTTCTTCGGTGAGGAGCACCGAGGGACACCTGTACCATCTTGCGAACGAATCAACGCACAAAGGCGGAAACTTCACGGGGAATGGACGTCCGAGCGATGGCAAGAGCAAAATTTTCAGATACCAGCCGCCGCAGTGGAGTTTTTGCCTCCGCTGTTGTCTCCCGCTCATCTTGCTGGGGAGGGGAAACGTATAGACAGCACCCAAAACGGGCGGCTGCCAGGATTCATTTCGATTCCTCCGATCCGATTCGACTCGATCTCGATGGATTCCGATTCCGATTCGATTCGATTTCGGATTCCGATTTGGGATCCGATTTCTCAATGGAGGCATACTAGCCTGCCGATGCCCGCTGATCCGATGTATTACGATCGCCGATCCGACCTGATACCAGCCGCCGCGGTGGAGTCTTTCCTCCTTCCGCTCCTCCGGCTCCTCATGCCGAGGGGAGGGAAAACACCTGGGCCGCGCCCACAAACCAGCGGCTGCATTGCCGCCGCCCTTGCTTCGCCATGGGGGAAACGGGCCCTGGGGGGACACGGGTCCTGAGCCTTGTCGCCGTGTTCGAGCTCTCGGGGCCCTCCACGGGCCCCAGGGCTGTCGGACAACGACTCGGGATGAAGAGCTCGCCCTGGGGGAAAGGCCTGCAGGGTCCGGGACCCGCCTCCCCCGTGCCGGTTGCCGGCAGGAGTCCTCTCCGGGGAGAAGCAGCGGCTGAAGCGCGGCTACGAGTACCAGGAGCGCGCGGAGCAGCCTCCTCCTCTCCGCCCTCGGCCTGGCCCCGGGGCTCGCGGGCGGTGGGGGGCGGCGACGGCGGTGGAGGCCGCGGGGGGCCGTTCCGAGGTGGCCCCCGCCCGCGGAGCCGCCGCGCGAAGGCCAAGTTCGGGGGGGGGCACTCGGATCCCGAAGGGGCCTCGTGCATGCCCTCATTCTGCTCCAAAAAAAGCGCGCGGAGAGGGTGCGGGTGCGCTTGCCGGAGTCCCGGAAGGCGTGTTCAGTCCTTTGTGCCGAACGGATGTTTCCACACTGGCGTGTCCCATGGAAGCGTCAGGACTCCAGCGGGGCGGCAGAGGCCCTCCCCAGCGGACAAGCAAAGGCTGGAGCAGCTTGACGAGAGCTTCGCAGCAGCAGCGCTACACAGCACCTTGGCCTGTTGCTTATGTCCAGCGCCAAGTCAAGGGTGAGCGGAAACGAACACCGCGCCCCCCCTTCTTCAGTATCGCTCAACCGACCCCTATCCCCATCCCCATCCCTACCGTCCCACCACCCCAGTTGGGGGTAAACCCTTCGAAACCCGAAGGAAACGGCCTGAATCCGCATCTAGTTGGGTAAATCGGCCAGTGGGGCCGAGGCTACGCCCATGGGAATAGGGGTCGGTTAACCGATGCTCATTTCTGCACTGCCACACCGCCGTCCTGTCGTCGTGTCGCGTCGGTGCCAATCGTCGTTCTCGGGGTCGCTGGGGAGACGAGGGGAGACTCGATTTGGAAAGTCTTCCTCGGGCAGGTTCGGCTTGTTGTGCCGATTTGGATTGAGTCAGGTGGGTTCGTTTCAGTTGGGAGGGTGGATTCAGGTGAGCTTCGGACGTTCAGTCCATTGTCCGTTGTGAAACGCAATGCTCCGCGTGGTCAAAGCTTGATAATCGTTGATAATGGCACATTGCGCGGCTCGTGTGGCGAGCAGCGCCCAGATGCGGTCCAGAGACTCAGGGTTTTTTCTTCAACCACCGGTACCCGCTATGACCCATTGGCTAGCGGCTAGCGGTTGCCATTGTCCTTTGTTGTTTCGATTCGGTTTCCCTAGCAAGCCCTCCCAATCGCCATCATAGGCCTTCTCGCTTCGCTGCAGGTGGCCCAGTTCTGGACTGCATGTACAGACTATATATACGTCTTATATATACATACCTACCTACCTACCTACATACATACATACATACATAGACATACATACAGGCAGACAGACATACATACATCAATACATCCATACATACATACATGCATGCATACATACACATACATTCATACATGCATGCATACATACATGGTTACATCGATACTTACACCTATAGATACATACGTACATATATACATACACACATGCATACACACATACATGCATACAAGCATACAGCCAGGCATGCATACGTACACATACATATACATACATACATACACATATACAGATACATGTACATACACATATACATATACATATACATATATATATATATATACATTTACATTTACATTTACATTTACATGTACATACATACATACAGACAGACAGACAGACAGACAGGCAGACATACACACATACATATAGACATGCATGCAATACATACATACATACACACATACATACACACATACATGCATGCATCCATACATACATGTACACACATACATACATACACCACGTACATACATACATACATACATACATACATACATACATACATACATACATACATACATGCATGTATATATAAACACATGCATACATACACAACCATACATACATACATACATACATGCACACGTACATGCATACATACATACATGCATACATACCTACATACGTACACACATACATACATACATGCATACATACATACACATATGCATACCTACATGCATGTATACATGCATACAGCCATACACACATACATACATGCATGCATACATACATACATGTATACACACATGCATACACATATACATACAGACATCCATCCATCCATACATACATACATACATACATACATACACACACATACATACATACATACATACATACATACATACATACATACATACATACATACATACATACATACATACATACGTGTGTGTGTGTGTGTCATGTTGTTGTCTCTCGTCGAGTCCTCATTCCATTCTTGAGGGGGACGTGGGGAAGCCAGCAGACAAAGGCAAGCACAGCATTGGTTGACTATGTGTATTTCGGGTCCATGCTTCCTTATGCTCTGCGCATGCTGACCGCCCTTGATCGCCTCTTGTGTGATAACCACCCCCCTGGCAGGAGGTGATGAGCTGGCTCCCACGCCACCTATGACGCCGCCGAGCTGCTGCAGCGACCAACATTGTTTCACATCTCCACGCTTGTCGAGATGGGTTTCTCCCTACTTACGTTTCGAGTGGATCTTGTGCATTCTTTGGTTGGGTTGTGGCTGCTGTAGGGAATCCTGCGTCAGCATCGCTGAGTTCGGCACAAGAAAACGAGGATGGTGTCCGAAAGGGGGGGGGGGGGGGGCGATGTCGGACTTCTAGCGGCTGGCTGGAAGCGAAAACGTGTGGCTTCTGATGAACCGCCCGCGCGGAACAGCTGGATCGTCCTGGCTGCTCTCGGGGAGAAGGATGGAGGAATGTATGTGCGGCGTTGTTTAACCGACCCGTATCCCCGTCTCCGTCCCCATCCCGACCCCAACCATCCCGCCACCCCAGTTGGGGATAGGCCCGCCGAAACCCGAAGGAAACAGCCTGTACCCCCATCTATCGGGTGAATCGGCCAGTTGGGCCCAGGTCGCGCCCATCGGGATAGGGGTCGGTTTGGCCCCTCGACCAAAGAAGCTCTGGGCCCCCACCTGCTGCGCCTGGTGGTTCAGGTTTTGGGTTGATTTTTGTTCGGCCTTCTCAGCAGCCCTCATCCCTACGGGTTCGGAACGGGTTTTTTGCTTGTTCCGCCCTCCGGGGGCCGCGTTCGGACCCCAGGGCCTTGGAAAGCGGATCTTGTGTGAACAATTGCGCCAGGTGGACCCCAGGAGGGGTCCAGGGACCAATTTCGAGCGGATGAGGGCGCCTGAGAGTGGTTGTGAGTTGGGATGAGCATGCGTCTAGTAATCGAATGCGTTTTGGGTAGGTTTTGTGATCAACGTGGGTCTGCTGGAGTGTATGTTTTATGCTGCGCCTCCAACATGGCCTTCAAATTTCAGATGGGGTTGGCCAACCGTACTCTTGCACTTTTGATGAGTTCTGCATTCTCACTTGATTTGCAGTTTGTGTTGGTTTGATGCCTGTAAAGAGTAGTGGCCGAGCGGGAGTGGGGCTGGCGTTAGTTTTGCTGGCTCTGCGCTGGGTTTCGCCTCGGCTTGCGCCGCAGATGTGACGAGGGGTTCCAGGAGGCTAGGGGAAGCGAGAAGGGCGGGAGGATGGCAACCGTAATCGAGGCTTGAGTCAGGCATGGGATTGTAGGGACGGCGGCTGTGTCCAGCTGGCCCGCCCTGAGGGGAGGTCGTCGGTAAGTTCGGCTCGGCTTTGTTCGGCCGGCTTGTTATGATTTCTTCAGCGTGGTTGGCTCGAGTGTCTTCGATTACCCACAACCGACGCACTCCAATGCGCACGAAAAGTATCAGCGGACGCATCGCAGCTGGAGAGAACGTAGGAGTTGCTGTACATGGCCACTAGGGAGCCCTCAAGTGGACACATGCAGGGGAAGAGGGGGAGGAAGATGGAAGGGGAAGACAGCAGAGAAACGGAAAGGAGGGAAGGCTGGCCCTCTCACGAGCTGGCCTGGCAGTGCGCAGCAGCCGCGGCGGGAAGCTGGAGGGCGCGCGAGCGGTACCGAGGGGTGCTGGGGAGAGGAGCCACGGGCACATGCGGTACATCTGCATGCACGCTCGCACGCATGCGCACACGCGCACGCAAAGCACAGCGAGATGGGGCTTAAGTGGGCAAGTCAAGTTGCGAAGCGTCGGGCGACCTCGCGGGGCTCGCCGGTGCAGGGAACGATGTGGCAAACCAGGATTGTCTGGGATGGGGGCAAGCGGGAGTGAGAGTCCAGGGGTGGACCAAGGATGAGTTCTAGCCAAGAAAGAATTAGGCAAGTGCGGGATTTGCGGAAAGCCTGGCTCCTATTGAGTCCGCAAGGCGGTCGGCCTAGACATGCGGCGTTTTTTTGGTCAAGAGAGGGGTCCCTGGAGGTCCTGCCCCTCTCCCCAACGCCGGTGTTCCCTACCAGATCGTTGCTTGACGGTGCCAGGGGCCAGCGAGGGCCTCTGGGGGCCGAACATGGCCCAAAGTTTCCCGCCGCGTTTTTCGCTGCGGCGCGAGCATCTGTCTGTGCTTCCCTCCTGGGCGAACTGGGGGCGAGGACGAGGACGTCGACGTCGAACGTGGGCTCCACGGGAGAAGCGCTCCTCCTCCTCCTCCTCCTCCTCCTCCTCCTCCTCCTCCTCCTCCTCCTCCTCCTCCATGAGTGAGTGTTCGCTGGGCCAATGACGGCGTCGACGTGCCTGCGGCTGACCGCCCGGGCCTGCCTGGGGCCGTCTCGGGGCCTCCTCGGGGCATCCGCGCAGGCGCCCAGGGTTTCTCTGCATGCCTCTGCTACCGGCGGCGAGCGAGGGGGGAATGTGAGAAGGAGAAGGCCCTCTCAGAAGGCGCCGAGGCTTCTCAGCTTCTCAGAAGCCCTTCGGCCTCCTTATCGCCCCCGCGACTCGTGCCTGAACCCCCCGACCCCCCTGGCCAGATTTCTCTTTCCTCCCACGGGGGTTCCACCTTCGCTGCGACTCGTCAAACCTGGGGCCCCTGGCGGCGCACGGATTTTGTTCCTTCTTCCACGCGAGGATTGCCAGGAGAAACCCCTGAACCCCTCTGGCTGGAGTGCGCCCTGCATTCGAGTACACGTGGCACCATCACGTGCTGGCGCGCAGCTGGAGCAGCATTGCTCTGAGCATCTGCGCACTCCTGGTTCACCAGCTCCGTCTCGCTCTCTCTCTCTCTCTCTCTCTCTCTCCGTCTCGCTCCCTCCCTCGCTCCCTGCCGGCCTCTTTTGTGTGTGCTTTGAACGTTTATCGCACCAGGCAGCGCTCCAGCACGCCGTGTCCCTGTCCTGACCACAGCCGAGAAAAGTTCGGGGGCCTCGCCTCGACGCGCATGTGGCCGAACAGTTGGACCCGTCCAGGGGCCCTCCTGGGGCTGTCCTGGTACTTTCTTGGTGCTTTCGTTGGCTCTCTTGGGGTTCTCGCGGGGCCGTGTCGGGGCTGTGTCTCGGGGCCGTCTTGGGTGGTCTTGGATACCTTTGATTCGACTCTAGACCGCCATGGGCCCGAATGGCCAGCGGACGTACTGCTCGAGTTTAAGGTCTTTGCCCTGGACACCTCTAGGACTTCTGCTAGATGCTCGGTCGGACCACAGAGCGTTCTGCGTGCCAGGTTTGCGGAGCAGGCGGCGATGATAATCGTCTTCTTCGATGCGCTCAAGTCAGATGTTTCTGATGAGTTGAAGCAGTGCGCCCGGGCCTTCTTTCTTGCCGCCCCTCCTTCTTCCTTTCCGTTTTGTTACTCGCGCTGCACATTCATTCGGCAGTATCGGACCCCGTCCCTGCTCTGGAGAGCGGTCCTCTCCTCAAACGGTGCTTGCACAAGGAGCTCTTTCTCTCATGCGCCCTGCAAATGTCAGAGTTTTCTGAGTTCCTAGACGCTTCGCGTAACCCCACCAGCAATTATCTGGCTCTGTGCCCCAGTCAGCCCGATTGACACGCCCTCTGGACTTTTCCTTGCGGGCCGCTGATCAAAAAAGTAACCCAACCAGCCCGTCCAGAAACGAGGCCCAGGCGAGTTCCCTGACCAGGCATGTCGGGGAGCACGCAGTGGAATAAAGGCTGGGACGCCGTCGTACCCCAAGAGGGAGAGGATGGAGGAGGAACCGGAGGAGGAAGAGGAGGAGGAGGAGGAGGAGGAGGAAGAGGAGCCAGAGGAGGAGGAGGAGGAGGAGGAGGAGGAGGGGGAGAAATAGGAGGAGGAGGAGGAGGAGGAGGAGGAAGAGGGGCAGGAGTGTTCTGAATCTTCGTCCAGGCGCCGCGTCGCCGCCCTCTTGGCCGCATCCTTGTCTCCTGGTGCGCAGACGTTTCCGTTCTTTGGGCTGGCCGCCGCCGTTGGCCGCCTCGCAGCCGCCACGTGCGGTGGATGCATTTGCTCCACATCGACTGGATCACACAGATTGCAGCATTTATATATATATATATAATATATATTTGTACGTCTACATGTCTTTGTATATGTAGATGCTTACCTACCGACCGACCTACCCACCTACATCCATACACATATATGCATACATATATATATATATATGCGCGTGTGTGGTTATACGAATAGATGTATACATACACACAAATACATACATGAATCTATCGATATAATTATATGTGTGTACATATAAATGTATGAATACCGATACATCTACATATAGGTATGTGTATATATACACACGTCATAGTTGCGATATGTGTATATATATATATATATGTACAGCTATAGCTACCCATGCATGTCTGTCTATAGCAGTGTATATATATATATATATATATGCATATATACACACGCCGGTCTGTGTGTAGATATTTACATCTACGGTTTATAAATGCAATATAAACAAATCGACCGCGCCCCCTCCACATCTGGATAACGCTCCCGGTACCGCGTCCCCGGCCCCCCACATAGGCCCAGAACGCCTCAGAAGAGCCGCAGACGCCCACGAGCAGCCGCCAGAATCTAAAAGGACGATCCACGACGCTCCCAAGCAACCCAAGATAGCCTTCGGGAGGCTCTCCAGGCTCCCAGGAGGCCTCCAAGAGATCTCAACAGAGCTCCGAGAGGCCTCCCGAGAGCGCCGGAGAACCTAAAATCGATCATTTCCATTGTTTTCTGAATCAAAAAAGGAAGGTTTTTTGGCCTTCTCGCCATGTCATGCTTCCAACGCTCCAAGACGGCCGAAGAGGCCCTCAAGACCGCCCCAAGACAGTCGAAGCCGGCCCCAAGACGGGCCAAGAAGGCCCCAAGACTGCCGAAGAGGCGCCCAGGACAGCTCCAGACCACCCCAGAACAGGCCCAAGATGGGCCCAAGAGCGGGAGCAGGAGGCCTCCAGAGACCTCCGAGAGGACTCCAGGACCCCCCAGAGGCCCCAAACACACCCCCAGACCATTGAGAGGCCCCAAGAAAGCCCCGACGAGACCCCCAAAACAGCCCAAGAGAGCTTCGAGAGCCGTCTCGAGAGAGCCCGAAGAAGGAACAAATCGTTGATTTTCAATGGTTTGTGTCGACGTTTTTCGCCTTCTCACGTTTTCCCGCTTCCAACGCTCCAAGACCGAGGACCTTGAAAAAAAAAGGAATTCCAGCTATTATGTTTTTGCAAGTTGGAACTCCTACTCCTTATCCTCTTTCTCGAGCCCCATCAAGACTTCGAGGTCACATGCAAAAATGTTTCGGGAATGCTGTTGAACTCTCTGACGCTGTCTTGGCACTCTCTTGGATCGTCTTCCTGTCCTTTTTGCTGCCCCTGAAACCATTGTAGAAATCGAGATCCCATGATCCCATGAGTTGAAACAGTGGAATTGTAGTTGGATCCAGATGCACGAAGACCCCGAGAGTCATCCCAATAGACCGTGGCCTGCATCCAGAAGCGTCTAACCCACAGCCCAGGCACTACAACTTGAAATAACGGGAAATCCCACAATTCCGTTGTTCCCCAAGTTCGTCCCCTTGTCTATTCTTGCACAACAGACCACAATTAAGGCCCCAGAAAAGAACCCAGGAAGCTTTCGAGGGACCAAAATCGTTGAACACCGAACGGCAGTTAATGATTTGTGTATTTCCGCCGTTCCCCTTCCATACGATTCCGAGGCTTGCGCATGGCCTCCAAGAGGGTCCCTGAATGCGAGAAACGACATATGATTTCCCATGTGTAGCTGATCAAACCTAGATAGAACTTGAGCGCGCGCGAAGCGCGCGCAATGGTTCTAGTACTTATATGTATCGATATATACATACATCAGTGCACATATATATATATACACATATATAGGTATATACATATACGTGTGCATATACACTTACGTATGCGTACATTCTCAGATATATGAACATACATACCTACATAGCTTTCGATCTACCGACAGTTAATTATAGTTGTAAGTATGTCGACATCTACATTTAGATCCACATATACATTTTTATTCTATAGATAGATAGATCGATCGATATATAGATAGATAGATAGATAGATAGATAGATAGATATATATGTATATAGATATATCGATAGATAGATCTAGCTACCTTTCATATCGAAGACGCCTACGGCGAATCACCGCCGCCCCTGCCTTTCGGAAGCGCTTGTGTGGCCGAACCTTGTGACCAGAGCTCGGCATGACGTGTTCCCCCAGCCGTTGTGGGTACCTTTCAGGGAACATGAGGGGGAGAATGAAGAAGAGGAGGAGAGGGAGCATAAAGGGGAAGGAGGAGGAGGAGGAGGAAGAGGAGGAGGAGGAGGGGGAAGAAGAGGAGGGAGAGGCCACTTGGGAGCCTCTTGGGGCTCCCTTTGAGCTTCCTGGGAGTTTCCTGAGGGAGGCCTCGTGGGGGCGTCCTTAGGCCTTTGGGGGGCATTTGGAGGCTCTCTGGGAGGCCCTTTGGCTGTTCGAGGGCCTCCGTAGCCCGTCGGAAGCCGTCTTCTGCTCCACGCGTCCATTTCGGCACACCCTTCACACGGTTCGTGGCCCCATTGGGAGCTCCACCGAGGGCCCCGGCAGCAGGGTTCGCATGCGGTTCCCCGCCCATCCCAGGTCCATTTTGGCATACCCCTCACATGGATCGTGGCCTCATATGGAGCTCCACCGAAGGCCCCAGCGGCAGGGTTCGCATGCCGTTCCCCGGCCACCGCGCGTCCATTTCCGCACATCCTTCACACGGTTCGTGGCCCCATAGGGAGCTCCACCGAGGGCCTTGGCAGCAGGGTTCGCATGCGGTTTCCCGCCCACCGAATCTGCGGTTCCCCGAACGGTACAGCGTTTCGTGGCCCCAAAGGAGCTCCACAGAAGACGATACCCACAAGTGCGGTACTCACAACTGCGTATGGTTGGGTTCTTCGCCAGACTAATTTTCTGAGGAAGCTCTGGGGGCCTCCTGGGTGCCTCTCGGGAGCATCTTGGACCATCCTAAAGCCGTCTCGGGAACCTCTTGGGCCGTCTTGAGTCTTGGCTAGCGTTGAGACTCTCGTGGGGCGATCCTGGAGCAATCTTGAGGCTTGAAAATCCCATCGGAAGCGACAAAAAACGAGAAAGCGAAACACAGGAAACCATTACGGCTTTGTACAATTTGGGGCCCTCGGGAGCGTCCTCGCAAGCCTCGGGGGGGCCACAAGATAATTATGTTGCGATCTTCTTGGGACAGTCAAGGGGTCCTCTCCGAGCTTCTGCGGAGCTCTGGAAGCCTCCTGGGGATAGCCCAGGGGGCTGACACTGACATGATCCCCTCAAGGCCCCAAAAGAGCTCCCAAACGCCCAGCGGGCCAAGTGGGTTACTGGGGGGGGAATCCGGGAGGGTGTGCCGGCCTGGGCCCTGGCCCCCCGGTACCCCATTTATGATCCCGGGCTCGGGGCCCACGGGCCCCCCCCCCCTCCCCCAGATGGTATGGTCCCAGGATTCCTCGGGCCCCCCCCCCAGATGGTATGGTCCCAGAGACGACGACGACGACGACGACGACGACGACGACAACGACGACGACGACGACGACGACGACGACGACGACGACGACGACGACGACGACGGCGACGGCGACGGCGACGGCGACGGCGACGGCGACGGCGACGGCGACGGCGACGGCGACGGCGACGGCGACGGCGACGGCGACGGCGACCGCGACGGCGACGGCGACGGCGACGGCGACGGCGACGGCGACCGCGACGGCGACGGCGACGGCGACGGCGACGACTACGACGACGGACGACGACGACGACGACCACGACGACGACGACGGCTGCGGCGGCGACGACGCCGGCGGCGGCGGCGACGACGACGACGACGATGACGACGACGACGACGACGACGATGACGACGACGACGACGACGACGACGACGACGACGACGACGACGACGACGAGACGACGACGACGACGACGACGACGACCTCTGAACCACCACAGCACCACACCACATCCACAGGGGGGGGGAGGGGGGCACCGCAGCGCAGCACCACGCCACGCCCACCTCTGAACCACCACAGCACCACACCACATCCACAGGGGGGGGCGGGGGGGACTATCGCGCGGGAGGGGGGGGGGGGCCCAATGGCATCAGCATTGGGGGGAGGGGGGGGGGGGGCAAGCCCTGGACCATATATGGTCCTGGGCTCAGGGCCCACGCCCCCCCCCCCCCAGATGGAATGGTCCCAGAATTCCTTGGGCCCCCCCCCCAGATGGTATGGTCCCACGACGACGACGACGACGACGACG